AAAAAAGTAATAATAATTTTTGACATACAGCAAAATCTAACTTTTAATGCGGTCTCTCTGTTTTTATATTTGGAAAAATTTTCATACTCGTTTTGAAAAAGAAAAATTATAAGCAGTTCTGACTGCAATTGGGCTAAAAATGAACGGGATATTTAATTTCAAAATTTCCATATTTTGATGTAATTTTCAAATTGCCTCAAGGGATGGCTGACTGCACATGCTGCAGCAGCATGGTGTCCACCACGCAGGATGAAGACGTGTAACTAAGTCACTTTCTATCGTAACACTAGGTCTGATAGACCAATTTCTCCAGATGGCTTCATAGGAAGAAATCCAAAGGATCTCTCGATTGTGCTGCTATGACCCAATCCAGCAGCCTAGGTATTCTATATCCAGCCAGTTACGTATAGAAGCGCTGAAATGCGTCAGAGCTCCATCATGTTGGAACCATTGGCCATGTATTGTGGGGAAAATAGGTATTTCCGTTCATATATGAAAATATTTTTCACGATTACAAAACTTCCTTTACCTCGTAGAAGGAAGCAAAAATCTCTAGCAAGCAAGGCGGAAACATGGTACGGAACATGGTACCTGTGTACCTGCATGGACAGAAACATGGTACCAATGTTGTGTTACGTACAGCCTGATCGATGATTATCTGTTGTTTGGTTTGGTTTATTAGATTACGGCAAAGCACTCGAGGGCTATCTGCCTTAAGGGAGGGATGCCTTCGTGGAGGACTTTTTAAGGGAAACTGGCTCGTATATACGTTACCATGGGAAACCCGAAAACCCCATGCAGCCAGCCCGTTCGCGGGATTCGAACCTCGGACCGAACTACCAGTGTTCAGCGACGTTACCGCTCGGCCGCTGGTGGGCTGATTATCTGTTGTAATTGCTACTGAAGAAATAAATTTAGGAAAAATCCGATTCATCCGATTTGGTACGAAAAATTAGGAATCAGAAAATTGTATGCAAAACTATCTCAGAATATTTGACTGCTGAACAAAAACTGAAAAGAAAGAAATGCTGCGTTTATCGGTCAAACCGTGGTTTTTCTTCAGTAGAATAATTATAGGCGAAGGGCCATCAGTTACTGGTTAAGAAGTGGGAAAATGAAATCGTGCACAAAAAATTTCAAAGAAGTAGTTTCAAAATTTAGGCATTGTTTCACCTCTCTCCAGAATTCCTGTTATTGTACATCAGGAATTAGTCCCAGAAAAAAAAATCTATAAATGCGGCTTACTGCATGGATATGCATATGTAATATATGAACATAAATACTGAATGCGCGCACACGTGTAGTCGTAGTGCTGTGGTAAAGAGTATACGCTTGTATAAATGTTGACGATACGATGCAGACTATGCTTCAACCTGGATCCAGGTTAATTTTAAGACTGAAACTGAAATCAATTCAAATCGTATGCATCTTGTCATCAGCTTAAGAATCGGAAACATTCGTCTCACTTCTCGTAACTAACCCACATAGCACAAAAACATCCTTGGGATATCCTGAGAATGTTGCTCGCGGGATATGCGCACATCCTCAGGACATCCCGGAATATCCCGCGAACCTCCTAAACACCTCCTCCTGAGTGCTTAATGTCACATACCAGTACATCCTAACTAAGTCCCATCGACAGCGTACGGGATGTTATTAGGATATGAACTCCTACTTACTACATCCTCACGACATCCCGGGATATCCCACTAACCTTCTAAACACATATCATTATGTCCTAAGAACATCCTATCTATGTCCCACTGACAGCGTGTGGGATGTTATTAGGATTTAAAGTCCTACTTACTACATCCTCAGGACATCTCGTAATATCCCAGTTTCCTCCTAAACTCATCCTCCCGAGTGCTTAATGTCACATCCCAGTATATCCTTAGGACATCCTATCTAGATCCCATCGACAGCATATGGGATGTTATCAGGATTTAAAATACTAGTTAAAATACCCCTTTAACCTTTTAAATACATACTCTCAACTGCTTAATATTACATCCCAGTATGTCCCCAGGAATCTTCTTTATATTCCAGTGAAAGTATGTGAAGGTGTTGTGAACCTAAAACCTGCTTATTTTCCACAGATAGTCTCAGGTCCTCCATCTTTGGTTACTATGGAAAAATAAGAAATGTTAAAAATATTTATACAATTTCTTTTCTAATTTGAATTTCAATTTATTTAATAATTTGTGAATATATCTAAAACTGAGCAAGTGACTTGAATTATTAATACAAAATATTAGAAAATTTTGTTTTAAAATACTAAAAATCTTTCGATCATTTTTAACCATTCAATAGCCCAAAACTGAATTTTTCAATGTATTCATAATTAAATTATTCTACAAATTCAGTTCTGACTTCAGTTAATTTGTATTCAAAATTCAATAGTAAAATTAAGCATTTAATTACCTTTAATTACTTTAAGCAGTGGACCAGACGTGTGTAAGTTTTGAAATTCTGAACTTAAGTCGGTTACGTTGATTGAATCATTATTGATGGCTATAATATGATTGAACAGTTCATGAGTTCGTCTCGCTATTTGCTGTAATGGAGCGGAAGTTTTTCAAATCAATTTTTTTTATAGAAGATATATAGCTTTCAAATTTAAATGCACTGTAATTATCTAACGGCCCAAACATTTTTACATCTTCGCAAATATGCAATAGGCTGTTCTGCAAGTATCATCAAACGTGGCACTATAGCATGTCACCAGTTTACGTTATACATGTTAAAACATATATATTTAGTTACCTTAGCAATCACTCTGCTTACTTCGTTAACTACACTCATTCTGTCCCATAATAAAAGTAGCAGTTGTTGAATTTAATTTGTCTCATAATAACAGTAGCAAAAGAAAATAAATACAGAACGCAACATTTATTATTTACAATAGGCTAGATTAATTTAAACAATAAATTAAAAATATTATTCGTAATTATTCGGTGTTCAGATAGTTTCTGTATTTTTTCAATAATTTCGTTATTTCATTTTCAACTTGTAGATAGGATCCCTTGGCTGCGAAGCTTTGTTTTCTTAATGCGCGTGAGTTCGAAACTATTGAAGCCATCATTCTTCATTCCTTCCAGCATAACTTGTTGAAGCAACAGTAACGTACTTTCCACTATCTCGGGAGAAGTATTATCAAGGAATCATTTCAAAGAATCCAACTCTTGCATAAGATTCACCTTGACAATTATTTTAGGAAGCAAATTCTTATGATCATTCTGTGGCACTTAAATAATACTTTGGCAGCTAACGTAATTGTACCTTCCTGCAGTTTCTTGTTTTTCTTTTGTTACATCAAGAACTGGACAATCACAATTCGATCTTTGTTCGAAAACTCTCTTTTCACTTCCTTGTACGAAGTAAAAAGGAAGTATTGTAATCGCGAAAAGTTTCAGGTAGCATATTTCAACGAAAATATCCATTTTGACCGCTATCGAATGCAATTTAACGATGTTATTGAGTGATATCTGTACGTAAGGACAGAATAAACGACTCTTTTCCTCCAAAAAAATTATAAAACTGCTTTAATATGAATTCTGAAGAGAATTTTTCGTGGCGTCTGTACGAACGTATGTACGTACGTACCTCGCATAACTCAAAAACGAGTAGCCTCAGAACGTTGAAATTTTGTATATAGGACTGCTATAACATGTAGATGTGCACCTCGTATTTTGGTTGCAATCGGCCGCACCAAACGTATATAAATATTTATATATATATCCACTCTGTTACCCGGCTCAGTGATCTCAGTTTCTTTACTCTTATATGTTTGTAAATTGTACATTTTTTGCTTTAAAAATGATTGAATTATGTTGTTGTTATCTTTCGGTTAAGGTTTTTATGCCTTTAATAAATCTCTATACAATATTTTCAGAATTATCAACAATTTTAAAGTTATTTAAGTGCCGCTAAGCCTAATCCTTTTCTTGATGGCGGCCATTGTTTGTTTACATTTGAAACAGCAGACTAGTGGATTTGTTGCCAATCTAGAGAAACGTAGCTTCGCCAACAACAAAGATAACGCCTTCATTTATTATTGCCAATTAAATCATGCTTAATTCTTTCTGAAATTTTTTCTAGGAAATAAGTGTTTAAGATTTACTTCGTAATTTTTAATATAGATATTTTGAGTTTTTATGTATTTTTGCCTTCTCGCGAAGTGAGAACTGAATTAATTGAATGAGAAATACTCAATCGTGTGTGAAAAACTGTTTCTTTTTTGTTTTATTTGCTTAATTTATTTTATACATCGTTCTAGCTTTATTATAGTATTTGAATAGAACATGTGGCAACGATTAGATAATTCTATTCTTTAAATGATATAAATTTTATGCATTATGAGTTATAATATGAACGAAATATAATACTGTTAAGTGAATCTAGGGCCAGAGTGTCGCTATGGTAAACAAATACTAGAGTGAATTTTAAAGAATGCATTTATTCTATCGTGGTTTATGCGCTGTCGGCGAAGTAGATTTAATTCAATGTAATAAGTTTAAATGAAATGCAAGAAAAGATGCGTATAATTTAATATTCCGTACAAGGAAGTGATGTGGTGTACACATCAGATTTTTTTACGATGGGTTAACATTTAGCTGAAATAAAACAATTAATTTGGATCCGCGGATGAAATATGAAAAATATATATAATTCGTAATAATTACATTAATATAAAAATTGAAAGCTGTGTCAAAATAAATGACAAATGTCGTGAACCATTGATTTTGATCGAAGACATCACCATTTTGCGGTGCATTTGCCAATAATTCTCGTTTAAATATTCACTTGCTACTATTATGGGATAGAGGGAGTATGCATTAGAATGCAAATTTGTAAAAAATTAATATTTAATCAGTTAACTTTCTTTTTTTTTTTTTTTTTTTTTTCTTTTTTTTTTTTTTTTCAAAATCTATTTTTAGAAATATTTGAAATGAATTTGGTGATTCAAATTTTTGAAATAATTTACAACTTTCTCCTTTCAGCTACTTATCTTTCAAAACGAGCAGATGCTATTAAGAACTGGGAAGATTTTCTTGATAAATATCTGGGAATCTGCATTGAGGACGAGTACGATAAAGAGAAAAATCCTGAAGTAGGTCATATCACATACGTTCACGACTGATTTAAACAAATGTATTATTCATTATAAGTTTATGCAACTTCCAAAAAAAAAAAAAAATTCATATCAGCAGCAGAAATTTAACCGTATTGAAGTTTAACCGTAACCAATCGAAATAGTTACAGTGTAGTTCAAAATTAAAAACTTTCAGATATTTAAGGCACTTAAATTTCTCAAAGGTCTACGAGTAAGCTTCGGAAACGGAAATTACGTCAACAATCTTGTGGAAATTTAATAAAATTTTATGTTTCCAATATTTAGTATGTAGACACATTAGGTTATTTCGATGCTGGAGGATTGAAAAATGAGCAACGCCTTCACCGGGAATCGAACCACGGACCTGTGGAATACGCGCCCAGTGTGTAGACCACCACACTACGAAGGCATGTTAAGAAGGCGGGAGAAATACCTTATAAGTACTCTCAAGTACTGTTTCATAATCTAATATACTGTTTATTACGATTAGGGGATATTTTGTGAGATCGATATGAAATAACGATATTTAAAGGTCTCATTTAAGTTTTTAACCAGTTAATAACTGTATTAATTTAGAAGTCAAACAACAAAAATCCGCGTTATATTTTCAAATTTTCACAGGACTAGTTTCGATGGTTTTACCGAACCATCATCCTCAGCTGCTAATAACTCAGCTTAATAACTGGTTAAAACCATTTAATAACTTAAGCAAGAGTTAATGATATTTAGCAGTATTAACACCTGGTTAACAGTTAATAACTTGTTAACCAGTTAATAACCAGCTAACGTAAGATTAAAAAAAATATTAAAAACTTAAGTGATACCTTAATATATGATAATATTCTTTCCTATCGATCTCATTTCTTTTTCCTTGGCGGAATGTAAATTTCTATAGTTCGCTCGATATTCAAATAAGGTTGAAAGCAGAGAGTATTTAAGGAAGGTTTTAGAGAGTGAAGTCAGAACGTGTACTGGCTACTCGAAGACCACGTTGCTAAATTTAATTCTCTCGCGATCTGAGTTATTCTTGTCATTAGGCTTGTTTACGCCGCCTTGTCAGAGTCAGCTTCGCATTATTAGAATTATGAAGCCGTTAGGATATACTTAATTTCATTAGTTCTAGTTAATCCATTATCTTTAACTGAAGCCATAATTATTAGCTTCTGTAAGCACGTGTTGGTGCCGACTATTATCTGAAGCAATAAAAGTGTCCTTTATACTCTTTCCCTGCCCCTGTAGTGCTTACAAGACATAATTCAGAGATTATCTTTTAGACTTTTGGATCTAATTTATGTTACCAAAGAACACCAAACTCTATAATATATATAGAGTACGTTTTTCACAAAATTGAAAGAAAGAGATTAAAAAAGAAAAAAAATCACGTTTGTAAACTTTGGAATACAGTTAACATACGGTATTGTCCCAATTACCAAATACATATTCAATTAAAAAAAGGTAATATTTCGAATGTTTCAAAAGAAAGACCTTTTATACTGAAAGAAAATCCAACCAGGACAGTTAGTTACAAAATCGTTAAACTGCTCAGTGTCAACTGCAAACAAATTAATTAATGTTAATTTAAATCTTAAAAAGGCGAAAAAAAATAATGCGCATCGTCTTTCTTAAAGACATATCGCCGAACGCAGAACGCGCTGCAGAATTCTTCAGGGGAAACATTTATCTGGGTAAAAATGGGAAAATGTTGCCACAATAGATGAATCTTGGGTGCATTTAAATGACTGCAATAAAAAGAGATCCATTTATTATCAGCAAAGAGGAGGGAAAAAATCTTAAAACACGGTTCAAAGAATCTACAAGTTTTTCAAAGGGATTTATAGTTGTTGCTGGCTTTCCATATAACGACAATATAAAAATAAAGAGAGAGTAAAAGAATGTTAAAATCAACTCCCCATATTACCGGGAATATATTTTATACCCAAATTTTAAAATATGAAATGACGTCCTTATATCCACAATGCCATCTGCATCAAGGCAAGGCAAGGAGCCACACGTTAAAGACCACAGTTAATTTTCTGTAAAAAATGGAACATGAAACCAGTATCAGGGCCATACCCTTCATTCATATCCCCACTAAATCTCCTCATGTATCACCCATGGATTTTTGCGCTTTTGGACTTTTAGAAAGCGGATTGTCCAGATGTGGTCTTATTTGACATACGTGGGCTCCTTGGACCAGATGTAGTCCAGACGTGGGCTCCTTGGACCAGATGTAGTCCAGACGTGGGCTCCTTGGACCAGATGTAGTCCAGACGTGGGCTCCTTAGATCAGATGTAGTCCCAGACGTGGGCTCCTTGGACCAGATGTAGTCCAGACGTGGGCTCCTTGGACCAGATGTAGTCCAGACGTGGGCTCCTTAGATCAGATGTAGTCCAGACGTGGGCTCCTTAGATCAGATGTAGTCCAGACGTGGGCTCCTTAGATCAGATGTAGTCCAGACGTGGGCTCCTTGGACCAGATGTAGTCCAAACGTGGGCTCCTTGGACTTGTGAAATGTGCTTTTTGGACTTGTTGGAATGTGCGAGTAGCCTCTGTATGAAAGCTAGTGTCTGAGGATATGTGAATCTATTGCTCTGAACAAACTGTTTGTTTTCATTTCAGTAGAACAAAACAAAACTATGCTGCGCAAAGTCATGCAGAAAAAATATTTGCACCAACAGATATAGGATGTTCTGACATGCTAAGAAAGTTTACAAATCATTGCATTCTGCTCTTATGAAAATATTTTAATTTATTTGATATTATACATAAAATTCTTTTTAGGGATATGTTGACCTTGCAACTGCTGTCAATAATTTATGTCCTGACATTATATATCCAAAGGTAAGTTCCTTTTAATGTCATTGAATTTCTGAATAATTTAATATTAAAAAAATCTGATGCGGACACCACATGACTTCCTTGTACGGCTTATTAAATTATGCACAATTTTTTGCTGCACTTCGTTTACAATTACTTCCTCGAATTATGCTAACTTAATTAGCCGTTTACTCAAGGCAAGTTGAAAAATGACATGAAAAATTGTAAATTAAATATCCCAGTCAACTTTTGTCATACGGGAGTCAAACTTTTATACATCTATTTTTTCATAAAGAGTATAAAACTTTCCCAAATATTAGGAACCGGAAGACAGTATTAAAAGTTATGTTTTGCTATTTGTAGAAAATTATTTTTTGTTTAAATTTGACTTTTCCAAAGCATAAATATTTTCGTCATTTAAACACTTCTGTAATTAGATGTGTATATCCCGACTGCAATAAAAAAGGGAGATGCATAACTAGATGTTATAGCAGTCCCATATACAAAATTTCAATGTTCTAATCATTTTTGAATCATGTAAGATATATACGTACATACGTGGAGACGTCCCGAAAAAAAATCCTTTTTGAATCCATTTTATAATCAGTTTTGGAATAAAGAGTGGCCTTTATTCTGCCCGTACATCACGCAACAATATCGTGCAAAGGGATTTTGGAACAGTCAGAATGGATATTCCCGTTGAAATCTGATAACCGAAAATTTTCTTCATTAAAATACTTGCTTTACTTCACGATTTACTTCACTTACTTTAAATGATTTTCATTATTATTACTTATAAGTAATAATAATGAAAATCGTATAGTGACTTTGTAAGGTTTATCCTAAGTTTTAACATTTAATTTTGAGTTAAAGCCACTTTCCTGTCCATTTTTAATTTCAGCTTACAATTTCCGACCAGAACGTGTTTTCAGAATCGCGGTTAAATGCAAATGAAGGAAGTGCAAGCATTTAAAGTTGAAGTTCTACTGACTTCGTTAGAGAGCCAAAGATTCTGAGCAGCGCGCGTTCGCGTTTTTTGGCTATAATCTCTGTAAAGCTATTTTTACATTCAGCCGTACTTTAGGCTCTTGATAGCTTCGCCGTTTAGTTAGCATTAAGGGGCCAACTCTTGTAGAATTTTGATAGCTTCGGCTATATCTCTTTAGTTAATGTGTGTGTGATTATGACAAAGCCTCGAGGGCTATCTGCCTAAGAGAAAAGATGCCTTCGTGGAGGACTTTCTAAGGGAAACTGGCTCATATACACGTTACACATGGGGAAAACCACGAAAACGCCCATGCAGCCAGCCCATTCGCGGGATTCGAACCTCGGACCGCACTACCAGTGTTCAACGACTTTACCGCTCGGCCGCTGATGGGCCAATATCTCTTTAGTTAAGTTTAGTTATGTTTTATTCATAGCATTCCTGAGTTCGAGCCCAAGTGGAGACTTTGCTGTAAACTCCAAGAAGGAGTCAACTGTTAACATTACTTTCAATAATAAAGGGTAATTAAAATTAACCCTTCGTACTCTTACGTTTGTTTCATTCTGAACTGAGCAATTATTCGCTTACCAGTTCTTAAGGTTCCACAGATTGAGCTGTACATTTTAAATTGGAACATTCAACTTGATAGTCACTGGCACAGCCGCAATCCCAATAATGGCTTCGTTATTAAGCGAGAAGCGGTACCCAGGCAAAACTGCCTTGGACATATGTGTAAATTCTCACTTGCCGGCGACCTGCGCCACAACGAAAACGCTGGCTGACAGACTTTTAAATTCTCCTAACCACCATTGTTAAACTGAGCAGCTAGGGTCACCATTCTCTTTGACCAAAGACCATGGTAGGGTTGCAGCAATAAAGATGGTCTGATTGCTCGCTTTGCTACCCATTAATACTAGACAGGCCGTTCCTCACCAGGGATTTATCCCAAAATACTGGCTTAATGGTCCTCCGGCTACACGCAGCTACTGGTACCACCTTGACCTGCGGAAAGTTGGGATAACTAGATATATAAGCATTCCTCACGCCGCGAGACTTAACCACACTGTGAGTCCTCTCACCCCTTAGAGCCAGGCACAGATGTTCAACCTCAGCCCTCGCACCTTGGAGAAAGTTGCCCTTCCCCCGTGGGCTCTGGGAAATTGCCAGGCTCGACGTTTTTATCCTCCGGTGCCGAGACTGCGAGATCCCTGGCAGTACAATAAACGACTGCTGGGGGTGATATCATGAAGTTAAATTCTCTCTTAAATTACCATTAAAGAATATTTCTAGGGATATCACTAGAATTAACAGTACCTCGCACTTTACCTCTTAAGCACTAGCCTGGGCAAATTTGTCCACTTCGCACTTCAGGTTGGCACGTAACTATGCAGAGATTCACTGGTATGGGTAGACTTCCTGTACACTTCATGAGTAAACGAGAGTCCACTCTCCTCTGGCCTAGTACGAACTTGAATAACAGGAATTATCCCGCAAATCGAATATCATAGTCTGATATATGCACATGTTATCCGGAGTAGAGCACGCATCGGACAACGCCCCAAATCGATCAAAAATTCATCAGTGTGATCTTGTCTGTACACAGTCAGTTTGCATAATGTTCGCTGTAATGTGAATTTGTGATAAACATACCTTCATGCACAAACGGAAAAGACACAGCAAAACCCTTGTATGAGTCATAAACATGACCATTTAAAACTGCCGTCAAAAAAGGAAGCGCGTGCATGACTCTTTTTATGGACAAGAAGGTTTATCTCAACGAAATTCATTGCCAATTGTATGAAGTATGTGGTGAAATTGTCATGGAACAGTTTCGCGGTAGACAATCGTGAATTAGTGTACATTACTTGAAAATGAGAGCGCTTCACAAAGGTTCTTGTGAAAAATTTCCAAGGAAAATTTGAAGACACCAGTATATCAAATCCCTCAATTTAAAAGTGAGAGCAGGCTTATCAGAGAACGCCTGAAAAGGCGATATCCGTGCAATGAAGAAGTCAAAGCTATGAGGCAAGAATGGTTACCAGAAGTTGAACGAGTCTTCTAACAAGTTGTACTTCAACAAAAATATAGAAATATTTGTGCCACGCACTATTATAAATGTTTTGAATAAATTTGGTTGATTGTGCTAAAAATAGTTTTCGTAATGTACTTGCATTTGCTATATGTGTTTCGTAGATTGTTTCTTTAATGCGAGCGAAACCACGAACGAACCAATTTGGCTGATCCTCGTATAGTTAGTATACACTGTATGCACATTAAGTATAATAAAATGATTTAAAAAAAAGTGCTTGGTGAAAAGCAGAGTGGTGCGATTGGCGCATCGTTTGACTGTAACCTAGTTTTGTTTACTGACTAAGTTCCACTTCTCAAACGAGTCCACGATTTTTTAGAAATTTTTTTTTAAGTATTGTGATCAGGAAGGAGACAAATAGACGCATTAGTTCTGACAATGCCATTGTAAGACATAAATTCAAAGATCGAAGATTCATGACAATGCCATTGTAAGACATAAATTCAAAGATCGAAGATTCATGATCTGGTCTTCAAGTTGAATGGTCACACTTAACCAGTTGATTTAGGTCTGCTAAAAGGTACCAAGATGACATACTTGTATGAAGCATTTCAAGAATTTAGTAAGTGGAAGCTTACTGATGAATTGTGATGTCATCCTAACCACGCCCTGTTGGTCTCACAGATCAAAATGAATGAATCAGCCGTATAACATGGCTATAAGATTTGCTCTTCTATGACGTCACTGACTCCTAATCTGCTCAAAAGCTTCTTCGCTACTATCTTCGTGTCTTTGTTTATCGTACAGATTCATTTCTAAAGTCAGCACAAACAGACATATAGTCATCTCACAACTATATTATTGCGGGCATAGCCCATTTTCTAATCTATTTTCATCATTTTTGAATCTCAGATACATGTACACATGTCTGCGGATTAGAAGACTCACTTGACCATTATGGCTTTTATTGTCCTCCTAAAGCCGCCACTCATTTACCTCAACCCACCTGCAATATGGACTCTTTTAAGAAACTTATTATCAAAAACCGTGCCAAGATATTTGTCAAACAGAATGAAGACGTCAATAAAACTCAGGAGTAATAATTGCAATTGAACAAGTGCTAAAGAACTATCCAAAAACTTTAAATTAAATTAAATTCTAAGAACTGGCAGGAATTTCTATTAAGCACAGTAATTAAAACGTTACCTTAGGTTACAAGAATTACAACGTGTGCACTTCAAAACATTATTTTAAATATTTAGATACAATATTACTTAAAAATATATATGAGTAAAAGAACCGTTTTCATTGAAAATTTTAAATGGGTTTCTTTTTAAGATAAGGACTTAAATTATTCTTTAAGAGATTGTAAAGTTATAATTTCTGTATACTTTTAATGTTTAATTTAGTTGTGTTTTATTTAATTATGGTCTAAGTGTTTTGTATTTATATTTATGATACTTGCTGTATACATTGTATATACTTCTTATTGTCATACATGTAACATTGGACATTACTCTGCAAACGCAAAAGATTACTCTATATCAGGAGAACCTCTGTCAATTCCATCAATCTCTGGTTAATATACTCCCGATGGATGGTATTTAGGGACCTCATGGGACGTGTTAGTTTATACAGGTAGAGGAAGACGTGGGATAAATACCTGTTTACCCTTGTTAGACATCATATATCCCCGTCTTCTGTCGTCTGTCACCAGTCGTCATGGACCATATAAGAAACTCTCTTATAAGGTCTATGCACTTCTGTAAGTGACGTCATCTTTGGGAACAACGTAATCTGCTTTGTCTACTGACCTTCACATGGGCCACACATACATCGGATTTCATTTCGACTGGATATGCAATTTCAGTCGCTTCTAAAAATTCAGTTTCTTTTTTAGTAAGCATTTAAGACGTCGAATTCTTTTAGTGTAGCTGCTGCCTAAATTTTGCAAGAACTTCAGAACGCAGTTCAGAGTGAATGCAGTTTATCCGTGCAATTTAGGTTACTTCAATATAGCAAATCCTACAAGGGCTATCTCGCCTAAGGGGAGAAATACCTTCGTAGAGGAATTTCTAAGAAAAGCTGGCTCTTATTCACTTTAGGCCCATATCACACATGCATTTGTTTCATACGAACAACTCTTTCGGACAATTGCTCTGAGAAAAACGCGCGATTTTTTCCTTCCTTTCGAAAAAAAATTGCACGTTGTTCGTTTTCAACCAATCAGCTATCAGTTTGTTTGGAACGGACAATCAATTTCTCTTTTACCTGTTAAGTAACGTGGTGATTGGCTGCTGTGACAAAGCAGAAAAATTGTTCCAAACAGTTCTTCCGAAACACATGCATGTGTGACACCAGGCTTTACACATGGGGAATCAATCAATCAAAATTTTTACAGCTCTCCTGCGATCAGTTACGCAACTGAGGGAACTGTTATTCCCTAACTGAGAATTCCCCATATTAGGCAGGGGGCAGGTCAGCAGCAGCTAAGTCACAACGAACTCTCTCAATGGGCTGGAGTACTGGACGACAAACTCCAAAACTTAGCCGCAGCCCATGTATCAAATTCACTTAGGAGTTTTAAACTAATCATTTATGTCTGGAGAACAGGGTCCCAAACCGGCTCTTAACCACAGACGAGATAACTCCAAGAAACCTCCGCTTATTAGGCCGGGCCTGAGGGGTCACCATCCCCTGTTCTCGAATTTTCGGCGGAGGCGTGACCTGAAAAACCTGATGGAATGATTGGTCGTTTAAATGCTTCCGCCAGTACTACACGGGCAGCGCGATCCATCAGGACATTACCAGCAAACTCAGTGTCGTCCCACACCAAGCTACAGAACCATCAGGTATACGTCTTATGCTACACCCTCGAGATCAAGCCGTATAAACGACCCAACCCCGCGTTCTGAAACCGCCAGGTTCGTGATTTTATACCCCCGTGGCTGAGTTTGCCTAGGTACAGATCCTAGCCAGTAGCTTCGCAGAGTTCTCTACGTCGACCCCCTGGGGGTTATACATGCCGCTAGTAGGGCCTTTGTGTTTGCGAGTATTTTTAAAGGATCTATTCAAAAGCATAAAAATAATCGATTCACAATTAAGATAGCACTCAGAGATGCCTGCAAATGCTACACCTCGCCGAAGTTTGCATGAAAAACTTATCAAAATATATGGTTTTTTTTTTTTTTTTTTTTTTTTTTTTTTTTTTTTTCATTTTTTAATTCATATTATAACAAATTCATTTCCAAGAATAAGCAACTGCGTTTTAAAGCTATATTAGACACGTCAAGATAAAAATCTTACGATTTTTTTTTTCAATTCAAAAAGAAGGGAGTTATATTAATATTTTTATAGTTCATTTCTCCTCCAGTATATTGCAAAAATATGGAAATTAATTTGAAACAGCTTGTTTGTACCTAATAAATTTGTTCTTTATGTGACAGCTTGCAAGCAAAGACGTTTGGTACTGTGATCCAGCCATGCTGCAGTATAGAGAAGATTTTGGCATAATGAGGTCAGTGTTATTTACCTTGTTTGCGAAGCTTACAGATCATTTTAGAATAAACTTTGCAGTAAATTCAAAAGAATAATATACATACATGCTATCCTTTATTTTTAATTTAAAAATATTTATCCATTATTCATTTTAGTATATATTTAGTGCTGTTTATTAGCATTTATTTAGTATATAAATACCTATTTTTTATTTCCTACTTCATAATATTTATTTATTTTCCGCTTTCCATAGATTAAGAAAGGCCATGGCTTCATTAATGACAGTATTCTTAGAAACTCACAAGCCAATAGAGCCAACAGATGTAAGCATTTTTATATCGAATAATGTTTCTCTTCAGAAGAAATATCTAAAGGAAATTTGCCAAATTTTGTATGAGAAGCGTTTTAAATTAAACTATATTTGATCCACTTATTGTTGGAATAGCGTTTTATGTAATTTGTCCCTGATTATTATTATTCATATTTATGTATACAAATATTTTTTTTTCCTTTACAACATTTGGTGCTTAATTCTCATTACTTTACCAAATTAATTTTTTAAAGTGACGTTATTTTAAATTCCAATTTTCTTCGGCGAAACTACATGGCGAAGACATAAATTCGTCAAAAGCAACCCTGACTTCATGTTCCTTCGCCCCCTTCACAAAAATTTCAGATCCTAACGGTCCTTTGTTTTACCAAACGTTTAACAAGATGCAAGTAATTATATTTTGGCTCTGTATTTATTGTTGTAATTATTTCTTGCTTTTGAGTATAATAACGCCAGTTTTTTAAATTTATCATCTAAGTATAATAGATTAAAAATTTTAGAAGTTCCATTTTTTTATATATTTTTTTAATATAATCCTAAAACCCTCTCATCATTTTGCGGGATTATGCTCAGGCGCATGTTGCGCAACCTATAGATGATTTATTCTCTCAATGGTAGTGAAAGGAGTTCTACTTTCAGTCCCATTGACGAAATGGTAGTTCCTTGGACTTGGCATTAGTCTCCAAACTGATATGATGATAATGATTAGTCGAACAAGAGACCGTTCCACTTGGATCGTCAACTAAATAGGCCCCATTGTGGCTATATTACGATTTCCATTTCGCTGATAAAGCGCTGCTAATAGTGCGACGTTATTTCGCCGATCGAACACCTATTCGAAAACCAGCATTACGAAAGAAGCGGCAACATTTTCTGCAGAACCATTTTGTGGGATATTGCTCAAGCGCATGTTGGGCAAGCTATAACTTATTCATTCCCTCGATGGAACTGAAAGGTGCGTACTCCACCTTCAGTCCAGTCGACAGCATGATGGTTCCTTGGACATAGTTTCTGTGACTACAATTTGATACTAAAAATGAAGGACCCACATTATGGCATTAGTCTCTAAACTGTACGATGGTAACGAGTAGTCGGCAATAGACCGATCCAATTGGAACGTCGACTAAATAGGCACTATTATGGCTATATTACGATTGCCACTTCGCTGACAGAATGCTGCTGGTTGAACGACGCCAGTTCTCTTTAGAATACAGCTTGAGAGACCAGCATAACGAAAGAAATGGTGGCACTTCCTGAAGAAGCCCTTCATCACTATAAGAAATAATGCTCAGGCGCATTTTGGTCAACGTATAACATATTTATTCTATCGATGGGATTGAAAGGTGCTCTACCTTCAGTTCCCATCAACGGAATGGTGGTTCCTTGGACATAAGTTTCGGTGACTGTGATTTGATATTTAAGATGAAAGAACCACATTATAGTCTCCAAATTGTTACGATGGTAATGAGTAGACAGCAACAGACCGACCCATTTGGAACGCCGACTAAACTGGCAGTATTGTAGCTATATTACGATTTCCATTTCGCTGACAGAATGCTTCTTTAGAACGACGCCAGTTCGCTTTAGAACGTAGCTTGAGAGGGCAGCATTACGAAAGGAAGCGGTGACACTTTCTGCAGAAGCCCCTCATCACTTTGATGGATAATGCTCAGGTGCACGTCGGTCAACCTTTCACTTATTTATTCCATCGATTGGATTGAAAAGTGCTCTGTCTTCAGTCCCATTGATGGAATGCTGTTTGCTTGGAGATAAGTATTCCTGACTATGATTTGATACTCAGTAAGAAAGAACCGTATTATGGCATTAATCTCCCAAACTGCTACGATGCTAATGACCACTCGGCATCGGACCGTCCCAGTTAAAACGTCAAATTAATCGGCACTTTTACGGCTATATTACGATTTCTAGATCGCTGATAACGGATATTAGGAAACATTAGTGACTATAATCGAAGGATAAATTTTTGTATCATTTGTAAATAAATAGTTATAATTATTAAATTTCAAACTTTCATATAATTAATCTTGTACGTTTTACTTGATAAAATGAATAAAATTTTAATTTCAGTTTTATAAATTATTTCTAATTGAAGCAAATATTTTCAGCTTGTCTGCAGTGCTGGTGTTACTAGTTGCATCGACCTCCTTAGCCACTGCATCGCTGATCCAGGAGGTAATGTCTAATATTCTGTAATAGTATTGCTTCCATCGTAATTTTCGAACGTAAAATTTAACTTCGTACTTCCGAATATCTCCAGCAGAAAAACATTTTTTACAGTTTAAGACTGATTTGATTTAGTTTTCAGTGTAAGAAGTTTCTTTGATAACATATAATTTATAAAATTTTGCCTAGTTATTAGTTTATATTTATTATTTAACCTAGTTTCTGTTATTTACTTTTAAATTATTTTTTATGTTCACATATGCATCTCCAAAAATTCACACAAATACACTAACAAAGGCTAGACTTCTTCATCTATGGTAATTTAAGATAGACTGAAGAAGATTAAATCATTTATTTAACATTTTAGGGGGGGAACTACTTCACCAATGTATATTCATTCTTATTAACTGGTCGTAAAGGTTTAGTTTAAGCATTGGAGGGCTATCTGCCTGAGGGAAGGGATGCCTTCGTAAAGATTTTCTGAAGGGAACTGGCTCGTACCCACGTTACACATGGGAAAGAACACGAAAAGTCCATGCAGCCAGCCCATTCTCCGAGATTCCAACCGCGGTCTGAAATACCAGTATTCAGCGACTTCAACTCGGTCGCTGGTGAGCCTAATTGTTCGCGCGAAGATATCTGAATACAAAGATCAGGTTATGAAAAATCAAGCAGAAGGAGAGGATATATCTTCTGGTCTGCTTAACATAAGACCAAATATTTAAAATTCGATTAAAGAAACCTGAGAGAATTTTACTACACACTACATTTTACTAGGATGATTCCTCTTCTTCAGGTTGAGTTTGTCAGGTATCAGGCATCTCTGCTAAATAGCACTTTGTGCCAAATGCACCAAACCTAATGCTTCCTATCTCCATTTGTTTGCGTTGTCTTGTTTGTTTTCAAAAGTTTATCAGCCCCTTAATAAAGCTCAGGTGTAACTCTTTAGTAGTGAGAATACCTAAAGTCAGTAGCCTGTTTCTCCGATAAACATTTTCAGGACGTTCCTCAATGAGTACAGACATCTTGACTAGCGTAACAGCCTCCCTGAAGATATAACTTCAGATCTCTCTCTTTTGGCAGTCTTCGGGGCTACATTCTGATCCACTCTTTGAGACTGTCTTCTTCACCTTTCCCTTTATCTTGGGTTTTTCAAGTATCTTTGACAACTCTTTGGGGTTCGCCGCTTCTTATTTACTATTCGAAGCTATCCTGTCAGTTAATACAGAACATCCAGCTATCTAGCCCCTGCCGAAGCACTTAGTTGCCATTCAAGCTCCAGGTTTTGCTAGGGTTATTGACCTTTCCTCAGTTCACTTCTAGTTAGCTCAGATTTTTTTCCTCTTTTTTTTTTTTTTTTTACTAGAGGGCAGACATTTCTTGATCACAGCTTCTTCTTATCACCAAAATTCTATCTTGGACTAACTTCAATTTTGTCAGTTATTTCAACCTGTTCGCATTATACGAACTTCTGAATATGAGCTTCTCATAACGATCCTCAATGCTATTCTTGGGTCATTCTAAACTCTTCTTAGATTATTCTTCAAATCTCTTCATATAACGACCCAATTTGCCTTAGAAAGTCCTCCACGAAGGTATTCCTTTTTGCATGCTCTTTGATCAAAACCAATGCCTTAATTCATTCATTTACTTGAACAAAACACATGTTTCGTATACTTTCGTGTACATTCGCTTACTTGAACAAAACACATCACTTAATTCATTAGTCAATCAAAACCAATGACTTAACATTCGCATGCTCTTTAATCAAAACCAATGACTTAATTCATTAGTCAATCAAAACCAATAACTTAACATTCACATGCTCTTTAATCAAAACCAATTACTAATAGATTCTTATATTTTGCAGCTAACTCGAACAGTTTTTTAGAAACTTCTAAAAATGGTGTACCCCAATGTAATCCTGTAGTTTAATGGCTATTACAGCTATAATTTCACTTTCCAGCTTTAGACCATGTAACAAATTAATTACTTTTACGCTGATGACCATTAAAATTGTTGCACTGTAAAGCCATGTTTATTTATTCATTGATTAAAATTTCAAGTAATTTTTAAGGTACAGAATATGCAGACAGCCGTGTGGTGACCGAATGTGAAATAATAGTCCCAACGTAACCTATGCTTTCGTATAAGGAGACTAAAATAGCTACCTAGTGTCTGGGGGTATAACAAGATATCTTTTCCCTGGGGATTATATCAAGGGAATGGTCTTCCAGTTTGGAAGTGAAGCTAAGAAACTGATCCCGTAAAAATCCTACTGTTACAAAATCAAAGGAAGGATTTTCTGGACCGTCTTTGCAGGGATATGAGATTTGGAACTAGAATTTGTGTTCGCTTTGTAGAAACCAAGGTACTTTTTGCTTTAACTACAGAGATTTAAATGGGCTGGTCATCTGTCAAGAATGCATGAAGATCAGTGCTATAGGAAAACCTTTCTGGCAAAGCTCATGGGAACCATACTTAGAGGTAAACCCCCGGTAAGATGGAACGATTGTGTTGAAAATTACCTAAACATTCTAAAGGTTAAAAAGAAAGTTGCCAAAACCAGAGATGCCCGGAGAAGTGCAGGGTTGTCCAGCCAATGAAGACGAAGAATATGAAGAAATCAGTACCCTGAGCATTCATCTCTGGTAACAATAGCAGTTCCCAAATGATTGGGGATGGTGTCGAACATATCAGTTATGGCACTGCAGCCCATATGGGTTCAATCCCATGTCAGAGTTCATCTGTCTTCTGGCTGGTGGATGTCATTATACCAGACTCTTTGCAGTCATAGACCAGATCAATCTTGATCTTTTCAGTTATCAAGAAATCTAGAGAACGTGCCAGCCAAAGAAGAATAAAACCCTATGTACTAAGAAAACGTAGCACATTGTGGATAACATGCTGTCACGCATTGTTTTACTGAGGGCCCCGAAGAATGGTAGAGCCATGGGCATTGAAACCTCCATGAATTAACGGTGGTTGATCAAAGTCTCGAAATGTGGACTAAAGAAGAAGAGGGATGTGTAGTCAATAATTGCCGCCCCATATCGTTCATCTAGGTGTTTGGCTGGTATAAGAATGAAGAATACATACTTCCAATATTTAGTAGTCGGTGTCCCCTATAGCACAGATAGTCTATATTACTATCATGATGCTATTAAGCAAAAACGGGATTCACTAGAAAGAATTAATTCACTCTACAGATGCGTTCACATGCATTGCTGAATACTTTGTTGTATGTGCTAATTCCTATGCTGTAGTATTAAAAGGAGTGTTCGCCTTGCTGACAATTCGGAGAGTAGTGGCCATCATTGCACCGTACCTTATGTATACTCGATGCTCTGAATTACGCTCAGCTTCCTTACACAGGATATGTGATATGGCTGCACGATTCCTAAGAGCAATGCAGATATGATATCTATCGTATTGGGTATTGTTAAAGAGTTTTCCATTGAGATCTGACCTTCGCTTTGTATGATCCTCCAGAACCAACCTATTTATTACAAATTCCCATAACAATAACTAAATCTCGACCAACGTAAACAGAAGTTAGCTAACCAGGATTGCGGTATAGTAACTCACAATCTTGGTTAGCTACGATTCTTCCATGATCAAATTTTAAGATATGCTGACATGAGTTTTTTCTACTTACATGAGGCATAACATGACTTCCAAGACTAAAAACAGCAAGTAAACACGATTTCTGAATGAAAACTTATATTTCTGTCTGCTGTTGTATACTTTGATGTGTCGTTACTCTTGCTTGTAATGTGCGCATGTTGTGAAATGGTAATCATATGCATATCCAAGATTGTTCTACTTACCATACAGATTTCAAGTTTGCTGTCCGTTTCCTTCACGGTAGAGCAGTTTTAATGGCTAGCAGTGTACTTCCCTTTCAAATAAAATTTCTTTAGCACGTCACACGTTAAAGGATATTTACATTATAATTCTGATTACAACCTAGGTTTATCTTTCATTAAAAGAAAAGCTTTAACTCGGAATTTCTCAAACTATAGTACATGTACCAGTAATGGTATACATTAAATTATTTTTAGTGGTGTAAGTTTTACACAAAAGGTTTATATAAACGTTGAAAATAAATGCAAAATGCCATCATTTTTTGTATATATATATTGATACACGACAGCATGTATATTTTTAATTCTTATTTATGTGGTACAAAATTTAAACTGCTACGTTCCTGATACCTTCGCGTTTGATATATTCAAGAGTCCCTGAACTCTTGAATATATCAAAAGCGAACGCATCAGGAATAACCGCCTCTAGCACTCCTTCAGTTGTGTGATTGTACGTTCCTGATAATTTAATTTTTTAAGAATAAAATAATATTTTCAGTTTATATTTTTATATTTTTTACAATTTTAATTTAAAATTTAATAATAAAGTTAATATTTATGCAAATTACGAAGTTTTAAAGAATTATCTCATTTTTAGTTTGAGCCCGATTTTAATATCTCTTAGACTATTCATTCAAATCGTGAAAAATCATCTATATCCATTTTAGTATACTATATTAGACTATTTGTATGAAGCAGGGAATGTAAAAAATCATCTCTATGCTTATTATAGTGTCTATTAGACTATTTATTCGAGGCAAGAAACGTGAACAGTCATCTGTGCCCATAGTGGGATTCGAGGCTTGGATCTGTTCCTAGTAGTTCGTAGTCAAATGTACAAACCACTTACTTCACAGCGTGCACAAAGGAAAGGCGATAATTGCTTAGAGAGCTGCATAAAATTTTCAACAAGGTACGTGAAGCATACAAGTTTGATATTCACAGATCAATGAAATGATTCTAAGATCAATGAAAAATCAGAAACTGATGTACATAATTTTGCTTAATCGTTAAGCTCGATGGTGCTACCATGGAAGCATAGGTCTAACAATTTGCAAAGCTCTCTAATTGTTTTTCAACGAGCTGTTAACATCTCAACTCAACTCGGCAACGCTGAGTCTGGATTTGAATTCGTACAGCAAATAGGAAAGCTCAATAAACGGCATAGAACAGTGATACTTGAATGATGAATTTAACCTCAACGTATTTAAATGCTGCCTCTACAGAGGAATTTCGAGAACATTTCAGTGAACAGATTTTTTCGACAACATCTAAAGCATCTAAAATTTTCCCGTCAATAGAATAGAATGAAATATATTATATCTATCATGAAATTAAATATTACAGTGTCTTTAAGAACATAAATGATGAAACGTGAGGAGAAAGCAAAAGCATTATACTTAATGCATTATTAAACTGGTAAATATCGTAATAATTTCAATTAGCTGAACACTATTTTTTGATTTTGTCGCAGATGTAATCTTAGCTCCGACTCCGATATACAGTCGAATCTACACTGATTTTAAACAACGAGCAGAAGTCGATTTGTGGCCAATTCCAATCATATCAAAAGTACGTATGATTTGTTTTTTGTGCCTGTACATTTTAAATTTTACTTTAAATAATCGTATTCTTTAAAAATGATTTAAATAATTTTATTTTTGAAAATATAAGATTTTTCTATATAGAAATGCAAATATTGCTTGAAATAATTTACTTCTTAAACTTTCTTTCCAAGATATTAATTTCATTTCTTATGTATTTAAAGTACTCTCTAAGATCGTAAGTAAGCAAAAAATTCCTTTAATTCCTTTAATTCACAGTCGGGAAGCGCTGTACAAAGATTTAATGGAACAATGTTGGCCCGACTTTAGCTCATCACTTCTCAGTATGATTATTGGTATAGATTCCACCTACCCTCTACACAAATTACTGAGAGTAAATTTTCTATTTATTTGCAGGGTATAGCATCTTATTTTTTACTTGAAATGTTGTACCAACAGGAAATAACTTACTATTAAGTCTTATTATATGTTTTTCGCTTCAAGGCCAGTTACGAATTCAGTCTCATAAATCTCTTTCAACACCGAATTTATTAAAGTTTTCAAAATTACATACAGGGTTTGTCCAGGAAATAGTAGGACTGATTTTTTTCAAACAAAACGGGGACGGGGAAAAGGAGGGGACGCTACTGCGCTGGTTCAGTTCTAGGAGATCTTAGTTACCAGCGCAACAGACGCCAGTTTCTTTTTCTGTTGCCCACTAGCGGCCGAGCGGTAAAGTCGCTGAACACTGGTAGTTCGGTCCGAGGTTCGAATCCCGCGAACGGGCTGGCTGCATGGGCGTTTTCGTGGTTTTCCCCATGTGTAACGTGTATACGAGGCAGTTTCCCTTATAAAGTCCTCCACGAAGGCATCCCTTCCCTTAGGCAGACAGCCCTAGTGTGCTTTGCGATAATTAAATACACCAACACCATTATCTGTTGTTTTATCAATGCATTAGATCCGTTTTTAACTTAAATGACAGCATCCAACAAGTGAAGTGACAAATATTCAGAAAAAAATGAGATTTAAAAGAATAGGTGACGTTTATTTGATCTTTTTTAGATTACAAGGTCTCTTTTGTTTCCCCTGAATTAATAATAACTAGATATTTATTTTGCTTAAGTTAGCAAAGTAAGCTACCATATTCTTTATTATAAATTATATTTATTTAAATTTCTCCTTTAAATCATTAATTTATTTATATTTGCATATTGCTAAGGATAATGAAGAGCTGAAACCAGTCCTTACCATTGAAAAGGTGGAGAAGGCGTATGCTGCTGCTATTTCTCAGGTACAATTTCATTTAATTCCGACTTTAAACAGTAGCCGGCGGGCAATCGGTCTGGCATGCGGAACTCGTGAAACCGAGTGCATGCCAGATCGAAGCGACTCCCGCAAGCAATTAGTAAAAATTAAAATCTTATATTAGAAAAGACGAAGAGAAAAAAATGTGTGTGGCGTGGACGCACTCAGCTTATCAATGTTTACTGATACATACTGTTACTCGTGTGTAACGTGTATACGGGCCAGTTTCCCTTAGAAAGTCCTCCACGAAGGCATCCCTCCCTTAAGGCAGATAGCCCTCGAGTGCTTTGCCGTAATCTAATAAAACCAAACCAAACCATACTGTTACTTTTTTTTTCTTTTCCTCACACCAGTTGTTACGTTATTTTCTTTCTTCACGTTCGTACGGGTTTTGTAGATTTGGAGTGAATAACGACGACACTTGATGAAGTATCGAAACACACCTTATTTAGCCAATAATTATAAGGACAGCTCCAATAACACGTTTTACAGTCGTCGATGAACTACTATAAACACGCTGACACGATCAGCGACACAGCCTTCAGGTTATCAGGCTATCACGGTGGAGACAGCTTCACTGGAAAGCTCCCGACTCTGTTCGGTCGTTCTCGGAACTTCACGCACTCTCGAGACTCTCCACTCTACAATTCGCGATGCACTCGACGACACACGAGCACGGCTCCCAACTCTTCGGTTCAGTCGTTCCCGGAGCTCAACACGCTCTCTCGACGTTGCACTAACCACGATATACTACGAGACTCTTGCGTTGCACTCGAAGATCCACTCGGCACTCGCTGCCCGGCTGTCAACTCGATCCATTCCGCAGGGACTGACTCGCTAGACGAGACACACACTCGATGAGAGACATACACTACACTGACTGCGAACCAGCAGGGTTTATATAGCTTTCGGCTTGTGTTCGAGAACATTCTGGGCTAAACCTGTAAGAATTCGTTCCAGAAGGTTCTCCATCAGTCCATGGTATATCGCCAATTTTGTCGCCAAATGAGGGATTTCTCACCAAATGTGGCAACCCTGCTTTTCCCTTGCTATTTTAATGCAACCCTAAAACTGCTTTGCGGGGAAGCCATCTTACCGCGCCTGTACATTTCATAACAATACCAATGGTTTTACACGAAATGTTGCGAACAATACAATTTCTGATGAACATCAAGAGTTTACTTTGCAGCTCATTTGTTGCACAAAGTTTGAGTTATTATCTCTACATATAATAAAAGAAAGAGTCTTCTCTGTGTGTCTTTCGTTCGTGCTGCGCGTAAGCTAGTAGACCCAGGGCTACGAAATTTGGCACATACGTGTATCTAGACAAGAGCCTGTGCATCTTGAAGCGATTTTTTCACAATTCAAATCAGAATTTCTTTTTTGATGAAATCGCATTATTTTGAATAGTTTCATTCTTTTAGAAATGTGGTTTTGGCAACAGTTTTTCATTCAATGCTTTGTATACTGAACTGCTGACTGTTGAAAATATGAGATAAAATATTATTAATTACACACGCAACGCGCACATCGCAATCTTCTTATTCTGACGCGCACGTGTCTTACGAGGCTAACAGAAAGAATTTCCTTTTTTCTCTCTCTCTCTCCCTCTTTATTAGCTAATGGCAAAGAGGTTTGTATATTTTGAATTATGTCATCCAAAAAGCACCATTTTGATGGGTTATTGCTTTCTGATGATAGTTTCATTCTTTTAGAAATGTGGTTTTGGCAACGGTTTTTCATTGAATGGTTTTGGATAATTGGACTGCTGACTGTTTTGTCTTCAAAATATGAGATTTATAGTTTATTTCATTGTAATTTTTTATATTATGTTTTAGTTATATACAATTTTAATTATATAAAAAGCCAAAGCCAAGCTAATTTCTCTCACTCAACTCTGTTTGAAACAAACACATTTTGTTTTCCAAAATAAATATTACAAGCAAACTGAGGGATTAGCCATGGGAAGCCCCCTCAGTCCCATCCTGGCTGATATCTACATGCATTATTATGAATCAAAATTGTTTGAAACTTTAAACTTCCCGGCATGGTTCCGCTACGTAGACGATACTTTTACCCTGTTTGAAGGTAATAAAGATGATTTAAATAGAGTTCTTTCAACAATGAATTCTATTGATCCTGCTATTCAGTTCACTTTTGAACTGAGACTTGCAATTCTCTTCCGTTTCTCGACATTCTGGTCACACGCAAACACATCCAACTTCAGTACTACAGTTTACCGTAAACCTTCATCGGTTTGCCTTCCACCACACTTTAAATCATGTCATCCGACTAAACAAAAGTTAGCTTCATTTTATTCCTATGTTTTCCGTGCTCTTCAAGTTTGCTCCTCCAAACTAGCCCTTGATGAAGAACTAAATTATTTAAAAGCAATAGCTATTGACAGGGGCTTTTCACCTAACATTATTAATCAAGCAGTTAAAAAATTCTCATCTCAACACACTAAAAGCCACACTCTTATTTTAGGAGATTATAAAAATTCTGTTGTTATTCCCTTCTTTCCATCAATTAGCTATAAAGTTGCACATATTTTGCAGAAATTTAACTTTCGGGTTTTTGTTTACTCTCCCATCAATAAAATTCCAACTTCTAAACTCAAGGACCCCATTCCGGATATGAATTCCTGAGGTATTTATAGGATTCCTTGCCAGTGTGGTTTAATTTACATTGGCCAAACTAAGAGAGCCTTAAAATTTCGCGTCAAAGACATGAGGCATATGTTAGAAAAAAGGAAACACAGAAGTCTTCTGTTGCTCAACATTGCTGGTCCGAAAATCACACTTTCAATTTTCTGCTGCCAAAATTATTCAAAAAACATCTTCCATTGGAGAACTGGATTTTCTAGAGGCATTTCACATTCATAAAAATCTTTCTGTTCTAGTTAACGATCCTAATTCCAATCCAAATTTGCCTTCGGCTTTTAGAGAAATTATGTTTTAGTTCTGGTTTCGCCAACAGATGGCGCCACTTGCTTATTCTTGTTCAGGCTTTCTTATCTTATCTAATCATTATTTCCTATCTTGTTCATTTGCGGTTTTGCAGCTGAAGATGATGGTTCGGTAAAACCATCGAAACTAGTCCTGTGAAACTTTTGTAGGTATAACGCTGATTTTTGTTGTTTGACTTCTGAATTAGTATAAGCATAATGTGTTAATTAAAAAAACCCACATAAAATTATTCAAGTGTAAATATTAATTAATTTCCGTAAAAACAGTAATGAAGATTTCATTATCCCTCTCCTTCAGTGCTAGATTAGAGTGGACATAGCGTTCTCAAATGTTTGATTTAAACCAGAAAATTCTGGTAACGGAGCGCTGCTAGAGATTTTTAAGCTTCTCTCTTACGTTCCTTCAAAACTTTCAAGACAAAAATTAAACCCAATATTGATTTGAAAGAGATCTATGTCTAAAAGTAAACATTAACATTTTCATTTCGGTATTATTATTGAATATTTTAAAATTTTTCTTTCCATACTCTTAACCATAACATGTCCTGGCTTAGAACAGCCATCTTAATAAAAACTGTAATTTACGTGAAATTTTATGATAAAGCATGATGTAATAATAACTAAAACCATTTTGCTAAACTTAAAAAAAAATCGATGTACTATAATCTAAACAAATATTTTTCATTGTTCTGAGTTTTATTGTGTTTTAATTTTTTTACAGTAAATTATGAATGGCTAGTATTTATTTTAAAGATTTTGAACTTTTTTCTGTTTTAGAATCGAGTTGTTCGTGGAATATTTTTGATCAATCCAGATAACCCTCTTGGAGACGTTTATAGCCCTGAACTAGTGATGGACATTTTAAAGTTTGCCCAAAAGTATGTACTTTAGTTAACATATCAATTTTAAATCTTGTACATTTACACTTTATTTTCTATTTAAAATTATCAATGTAAAGGAATCTAAAAACTGTAGTCTCTACAAGTGGTGGACAATAATTCGAAACAACCAGGGTTTGGCGATTGGGTTCCCTAATCCTCAGTCGCCCTTTAAAAGGGGAAGTATAAAAAGAATTTTTTCTCTTTTTTTTCCGCATGCCATCGTAATATAACTGGAAAGCATACTATGTAACGCATTTCTCCCGCCTTCTTAGCATACCTTCGTGGTATAATGGTCAGCACACTCGGCGCGTATTCAAGAAGTCTGAGTTTCGAGCACAGGCGAAGGCATTGCTCATTTTTCAAGTCTCCTGCTAATTAATGTCTGTACAACTGGACGCGAATTCCGAAGCTCGAATCCCGGAGGCAACACTGCACATTTTTCAAGTTCGTGCATCGACCAAATCTAATATCTCAACACATCCAACTAGCTATTTGTAGATCCGTGATTTGAATGCCGTCGAGAGCACAGCTCATTTTTCATGTTTTCGCACTGAGAAACCTGATGCAGTGGTTCTTGAACTAAAACTATAGTGGATACTAATGCGTAATTATTTGGATTAGTAGACAAGGTCTCGAGTTTCTTCCATTATCACCATTTAATTGGAGAAGAATATAAGAAATTAAAGTGCTTTTGTGGTTAAATTGGTTAGCACATGCGAATAATAATTAGAATGTCAGTGGTTCGAATCCTGGCGCGGGTACAGTTGAATTATCCGTCTCATTCACCGGAAAAAAAAAAAAAAGTCCAAGGAGTTGCTCTAACGATGTTTTATTCTATTCCTTAAGAAGTTTAATACGTTTCTTAGTTAATGTGCTTAGAACATTTTATAAATTTAAATAACAGTATTTAATCGTTAAGCTTTATCACTTGCTGTAGACATGATAGGTTTTATCTGCAAAAATAAGGTACACTCGAGCTAAAAAAATAAGCAACAAACGTTAAAAGCAAAGGAACGAATATAAAAAAGGGGAGTTAAAACATACAATTTACATATGAGGTAGAGGTTGTACAGGCAATCAAAATGAGCATAAAACGCAATCTCGCAGTCACACCACAAAACGTAAAAAGGGGCATGTCGGAAATATGCGTCAGTTCGCAAGCAGTCATAGTTCCGCTAAATCCGAGGTAGCCCAAAGAGGAAAACATGAGCCGAAGACGCCATTTGCACGATGAAATGCGTTAGTGGGCTGTCGGGATGTTGTAAATTCGTGCAGGACAATCCGCTGTTGCGAGAGATCTTGAATGTGCATGTAGTGTCATCAACAGGTTATGGAGTCGCTTCCAAAGAGATCAAAACCCCTAGAGAAGACGTGGGTCTAGATTCCGGTGTATTACCACAACGCCAGACCACGATTACCATAATCGCTTCCTGTTGCTATGTGCAAGATGCCATAGATCACTAACAGCATGACAGCTGGCGCCGTATCTCTCTGCTGCTGCAGGATGGCCCATATACCGCCAAACTGTGACTAGTCGACTACATAAAGGTATTTCAGCTAGAGGGCTCGTGAACATCGCAGTTGAGCACCAGAGCAGTGGGGCCACATACACTCCACGAATGAGTCTCGATTTAAGATCCAGAAGGATTCCCGAAGGGCAACGATATGGCGAGAGCATCGGACACGTTATCGAGTGCCAAGCATCGTCGAAAGGTTTATCAGGACTACTGTCTGTTCTGATTGCCTTTGTGAACATAACTAGAGTCATGAGTAAGAACAGGGAGTTTACTCAAAACTATGTTCCTGAAAGTGTAGAAGATACAACATTAGTGGGAAGGGTTTAAATACCCTCTTTATTCTTCACAGTTTACAGCAGTTCCCGCACTTCGGGACACAAAGACCAGTACTTACGGTCTGAAACGTAAAAATAAGAACCACAAACTAACTAAATTTAAATAAGAGCTAAATTCAAATACTTTACAAAGACTAGTAACGCGAAAATTGGCCTTTTAATCTTTACGCAGAATGCGGGAAAACTACAATACGTCTTCAGTATCAAGAGGACTAAACTTTGGCCTTAAGGGTGGACAGTAACTGATTGAAAAATGCGCGTGAGATAAGGTAGCGAGAAGTCTCTCTCTAACTCCGTCTTGACTAAAAGCCACAACTTAAATACTTAACAGTTTGCAAGCTCAATTTGCATAAATAAAACTAACCGCGTTTCTGGCCGGAATTGGAAAATAAGAGGGGACAGTAAAGTTTTAAAATAAAATAAACGTTAGTAAAACTTAAAATCCTTACTGGTTTAGTTGAGTTTATTACGGCAAAGCACACTAGGGCTATTTGCTTAAGGAAAAGGATGCCTTCGTGGAGAATTAAGGGCTGGCATAGCAACGAACGGTAGCACCGTCCTCTACGTGATTCCTGGTGGTTCCAAGGATATCGCTCGTCCGATATCGTAACGTAATTCTGAACCCTCTTTATCGCTGCAATGGGTGCCGACACGATATTTACAGACGTAACGCCCGCCCGCATAGAACTCGAGTCGTGCAGAGTTATCTGTTGAGTTAAAAACTATTCCACATCTGCCGTGGCCTACCAGATCACTGGACCTGAATCCCATACAGTATGTGTGGGACATGTGAGAATGACGGATAATCAGGTCTCAAACTGCCTCCAGGCACGGCATGCATTATGGCAAAAATGGGCGCCACTACTACAACAAGTGATCAAAAACACTATTGCCAACTTACCTCGCCGTTGTCAAGCATGCATTTCAGCTAGAGGCTAGTACCCGTTATTAGTGTGACGTTCCATTGTACATTCTTCCAACCCACTTTGTCTTTCACGATCCTGATGGTCGTATTGCATGTGTTTTTGTTTGCCTTTGTTTTATTGTTTGCTATGTGGTCTAGTAATGCCACACCAGTCTCTTCGATCAATTTCAGGTATACTCATTAAACAGATTTTGCATTGTTCCTTGTTTTGCCTTTGTTGCTTATTTTTTTAGCAGGAATGTATACGTATATACGAGGGTTGGAACTTTAATAGTGGCAACTATTTATTTACAAGGAATACAAAAATGATTCATGTCACCATGTTTTACAGTCCTTCAATACAGTCGCCAGCATTGTGTACAACCCGTCTCCAACGATGTGGAAGTCGCAGAATACCTGTAGCAGCGCCTGTTTTTGTTGAAAGTTTGAACGGACCGGTCTACTGCCGCAAGAATCTCAGGAACAGTTTGGAAGCGAATGCCACGAAGTGGTTCCTTCATCTTAGGAATTAAGTCATAGTCACAAGGGCTTACATCTGGGAAGTATGGTGGATGGTAAAGCACTTCCCAGCCCCATCGCTTGAACAAATCAGTCACGGCTTGCGCTGCATGCGGCCGAGCATTGTCATGCAAAATGAGAGGAGCGTTCTGCAGAAAGTGTCGTCGGTTTTTTCTCAAAGCTGGTCGGAGATTGTGCTCCAAAAATGAGCAGTAATACTGCGCAGTGACAGTCTGCTGTGGGGAAACGGTATGCGTTAGGATGACACCATCACAGTCGTACACGAGAGTCACCATAACTTTCACATTGCTGGGGTTCTGACGAAATTTCGAACGTCGTGGTGACCCGTGATGACGCCATTCGTTTGATTGTCGTTTCAGTTCTGGCTGGTACGATCGAGCCCAAGTCTCATCCAGCGTAATGATACGGTGTAAAAAAGCATGTCCTTCGCGCTCATAGCGCTCCAAGTGGGTTCTGGCAGCATCGTATCGTAGCCATTTCTGCATTTCCGTCAATTGATGTGGAACCCATCGTGAAGCAATTTTTCTCATGGACAGGAGTTCCTTCAGAATGTGCAGCACAGTCGTATGCGCTAATTCTGTTTGTCCGGCCAGCTGACGAATCGTTTGGCGGCGATCACTGTCCATTAGTGCGGCAACAGCTTGCACGTCTGCATCGCTGACACTCGGACGACCTGGCCGCAGCATGTCTGCCACGTTTTGGCGTCCTTTATTGAATGCTTTCACCCATCTTGCTACGGTTTTGTAAGGCAATGCAGATTCCCCGCAAGCCTCTTGAAGCCCTTGATGACACTGTCGTGCTGTACGACCTCTGGCACATTCACTTTTTATCCAACAGCGTTGTTCTTGTTTTGAAAACATCCTTACAGCACTTAGACAGCGAGCTAATACAAGGATTCGTTCTTTGCGTCACTCCGCATGCGCGTGAGGTAGGCAGGACGAGTCTTTTTGCTGAGAGGTAAGGTAGGTATGTAGTTTATGTGTGGTATACGCGATATTCTTTGGTTTTGTTGCGTAGCATTTTTTCAGCTGTGTTGCCACTATTAAAGTTCCAACCCTCGTATATGTTACCGTGAAAGACCGAAATTGGAAAAATGTCGACTTTCACCGGAGAATGTCAACATTCACCAAATACGTCGGTGAAAGACCGAATATTGCACTACATTCTTGTACATTCGGACCCTCACCGGTGTATGTCGACAATCACAGATATGTTCTGGTGTAGGTCGAAAAGAGAGGTCATTAAGTGCCATAATAGTTTAAGTTGTTGCAATAAATAAGATTTGAATCACATAATTTAGTAAGTTTTTTATCACTGTTATTTTATTTTCTCATTTAGAACGTACTGTATAATTAAGTAAGTTTTTAACTTCTATTATTTTCCTTTCTCATTTTGAATGTATTGTGTGTTTTAGGTTCTCGTGTTCTTAAGTTCTTATTTCAAGTCTCAAGTGCGTTTATTCGCGACTGAATTACGGAGAAGAAAATATAATATTGTTATATGTTCAACATTCACCATTAGTACATGGTGAATGTCGACATTGACCGGGGTAAGTCATAAATAAGAGTATTTGGAAAGTATTTCGGACATACACCAAGCGACTATGTGAATGTTGACATTCACCGGATTTACAGGTGACATTCACCGATCTAAGTCGACATTCTCCAGATTTCGGTGTTTCACCGTAACATATATTCTTAAATTTTAATTTAAATAATTCTCTTTACTTGGTTTTGATGGTCTTGAACATTCGTAATTAAAAACCAATACCTAATTTATGCAGTTAAATGTGTTTGAATAAAAAGTTTCAATTACAATTTAAATAATATAGGTGTGTTTTTGTGCCTTTTCACTTACATAACACTTTGACAAAACAATATTGTTTCGTAACGTTATATTTAACTTACGAAACAATATTGAAATAGTATTAACAATATTGAAATTTCCTTCACCAGAAATATCTAGCAATTTACTTTAGTTTATTGACGATTGATTACGTTATTATCAGTTTATTATGTCCGGTATTTCAGGCACAAATTGCATGCTATAGTCGATGAACTGTACGCACTTTCCGTGTTTCCTGATGGGCCACAGTTCCACAGCGTTCTGAAGTTTCCTGAAATTCCTGATCCAGAGAGAACACATATTCTTTATGGTTTAAGTAAGGTACATGCTTTACTTATAAATAAAGGGTGTCTCAAAAAGAAAACCGGATTTGAATCTACTATAAATCGAATTTATTTATTTGAAAGAAGCAAACAAAACACACCATCCCCTTCAGTTAGATGTTGAGATTATACCTGAAACACAATATCGGGCATAAGATCACCCACCCTGCTAGCCCTGCAAGCAATCGTTCTGTTCATGAAATTAACCATCACTCGCTTACACATTTCCCCTTCAACTTCGTTGAGAACCCATTGAATTTCCCTTTTGAAATCCAACAGATTACGGGGTTTGTTTTTGTAAACTCGTTGACTTAGTGTACCCCCATAAGAAAAAGTCACAAGGTGTCAGGTCACAAGATCGACATACAATTTACAGGATAGTTTTGGTCTCCTCGTAACGAGATTAGTCTGTCTGGGAACTTCTCATGCAGCAGAGCAATTGTGTCTCCTGAAGTGTGGCAAGTTGCACCGTCTTGATGGAACCAGAAATTTTCGATGTTCGTTTGATCCAATCGGGGCCAAAGGAAATTAGTGAGCATCGCACGATAACGAACTCTATTCACCGTGACAGCCCTTCCTTGGTCATCTTCAAAAAAATAAGAACCGATTAAACCCTCACTGCAAATTGCACACCAAACCGTAACTCGTTGAGGATCCATGTCTTCTTCGTGAATTACTCTTGGATTTTCTGATCCCCATATGCAACATCTGCCTCACTCCGGCCACTTCGAGGGTGTCCCGGGCTTTTGATGTTTACTATTGAACCGGTTTTTCAAATTTCTTGATCAACCTACGAACAGTGGAACCATTTGGTGCATTGTTGTGTTCCATAATCTTCCTCTCCATTGATATCCGACATAAATTCTCTTCTTGGAAAAATCCCAAACTACAAAATTCAAATTTCATGGATCAGAGGACATAGTGGCCATTTTGGTAATGATCAGGCAGATGAACTAGCCAAAGAAGCAGCTATTAATCAAGATGGTACTGAAATCATCATTCCGTGGCCTCGCTCGAATTTCAAGTACCAACTAAAACAACTTGCTTCAAAATCTTGGCAAGATTTGTGGAACAATGCTCCACAGGGAAGACGCACATATAACTTGATGCCCAATGTAAGCTTAGCATCTCTGAACTCGAATCCTTCCCTAAATTACTTTATAACAGGACATGGTCCCTTCCCCACATATTTCTACGCAAGAAATTTGGCAAATTCTGACATCTGCATATGTGGGGAACAGGGAACTCCTGATCACTACGTTTTCTCATGTCCTTTAACTGAGGATATTCACATAAAATTCCCAAGAACTGGTCTCCTGGCATTCCAAAGATTTTTAATTAAAGATAAACATCAATATCCAAAGTTTCAGAAAATTATGCAACGACTCTCTTCCTACGGCCTAGATCTCTGTCAAGTGTAAGTCCACATACAGTTTAAACTTAGTGAACTTTTACATGCTGTGATTATGGACAAAATGGATCCACTCGTGAACTTTATAAACTGCAATAAACCAATATATCTGAAATAACCCATGGACACCTACCTCTTTAGCATTATTATAACAATTCATTTAACATTGTGTTGCCAGTCTAGTTATAATTATCTCATTATGTTTATCTGTTTATTAATTATGTTTATCTCCTATTTTTGTTGCACCAAATCAGATGTTCAATTTATCTTGTGAATCTCAAATTGTATTCCTACTATTTTGTAATCTACTTATGCCCTACACCATTATTTTTAATAAATACTGGATGCGGGGCGTACTGTGGAATTGCACGATGTACCATAATAGGCAAACTTTAGACCTTTTGAAAAGCTTCAGTCTATGCAAATTCTTGTAAAACTTGCAATTACCCCCCCCTTTTTTTTCTCTCAAAGAGTTAGTATGGGAAGGCATTACAAGTTGACCTATGGTACATCGCTGTTGTCTCCCATACTTTTACCTTTACCTTTACCTTGTGTTCCATAATCGTACGGAGTTTACCAACGGTTTCCGCGAAACTTCCACCATTTTTGTAGTGAGTTTTCACAATCAACACTCGCTGTTCCGTACTGTATCTTTCCAAGACTATACACGACAAACATTAATCTGGGAAACAAAAGCACACTATCAAAACAAAACCTCAATGATCAGTGATAACAAAACGTGCAAAAATAATGTTGCCAACAACAACAAATAAAAATAACGGGCTTTTCAAATACGGCGTTCTTTTTGAGACATCCTTTACTTATCCTTAACCATTTTTTGACGGCTGACATGTATTGGCAGAAACGAATGCGCATAAGAAGATGAATGCTCTGTGTGTATGATAAAAAACAATTGTTTGCAGCAATGTCCGTTGCCAAGCTCTATTTGCGAATAATATATTTTTGCTATTCAAACAATAATCTTATAAGGCTCTTCTTGGAAATTTGTGTTAATAATTTTGTGTTAATTAACCAGTAATTATGATTTTGAACTTTAATATGACTTCTTCCTTTCGCATTCCTCACCCGAATGCAAATTAGTTTTTAGTGTGTAGTCTCAGACTACTTCATCAGCGTGCATCAAAGTAGAACTCTCAATGCAGATAGTGAAATAGATAAGTGTGTTGGCACACATTTATCTATTTTTTTCAGTCTTTTCTAAGTTTACAACACCAGTGTTCAGTCTTCTTAGCAAGATGGGTTTAGAAAACCTTTTTTTTTACTTCCTTGTACGAAGTAAAAAGGAAGTATTGTAATCGCGAAAAGTTTCAGGCAGCATATTTCAACGAAAATATTCATTTTGACCGCTATCGAATGCATTTAACGATGTTTTTGCGTGATATCTGTACGTAAGGACAGAATAAAATACTCTTTTCCTTCAAAAGAATTATAAAACTGCTTTAAAATTAATTCTGAAGAGAATTTTTTGTGGCGTCTGTAGGAACGTACGTACGTATCTCGCATAACTCAAAAACGAGTAGCCTCAGAACGTTGAAATTTTGTATATAGGACTGCTATAACATGTAGTTGTGCACCTCGTATTTTGGTTGCAATCGGCCGCGCGAAACGTATATAAATATATTTATAAATATATCCACTCTATTACCCGGCTCAGTGATCTCAATTTCTTTACTCATATATGTTTGTAAATTGTACATTTTTTGCTTTAAAAATGGTTGAATTATGTTGTTTTTATCTTCCGGTTAAGGATTTTATGCCTTTAGTAAATCTGTGTGCAATATGTTTTAGAATTATCAGCAATTTTAAAGTTGTTTAATTGCCGCTAAGCCTGTTTTAATGGCGGCCATTGATGTTTACATTTGAAACAGGAGACTAGTGGATTTGTTGCCAATGTAGAGAAACTTAGCTTCGCAACAACAAAGATAGCGCATTCATTTATTATTGCCAATTAAATCATGCTTAATTCTTTCTGAAATTTTTTCGAGGAAATAAACGTTTGAGATTTACTTCGTAATATTTAATATAGATATTTTGAGTTTTTATGTATTTTTGCCTTCTCGCGAAGTGAGAACTGAATTAATTGAATGAGAAATACTCAATCGTGTGTGAAAAACTGTTTCTTTTTTGTTTTGTTTGCTTAATTTCTTTTATACATTGTTCTAGCTTTATTATAGTATTTGAATAGAACATGTGGCAACGATTAGATAATTCTTTAAAAGATATACATTTTGTGGATTCTGAGTTATAATATGAACGAAATATAATACTGTTAAGTGAACCTAGCGCCAGAGTGTCGCTATGGTAAACAAAGTTAATTTTAAAGAATGCATTTATTCTATTGTGGTTTATGCGCTGTCGGCGAAGTAGGTTTAATTCAGTCTAATAAGTTTAAATAAAATGCAAGAAAAAATGCGTATAATTTAATATTCCGTACAAGAAAGTCATGTGGAGTACACATCAGATTTTATTTATTATTCTTAATGTTTTGTCCATTAAATTTATTAATTAAATATCATGTTCCCCAGATACAATTCAATTAAATAGCAAAATCACAAAATATTTAAAAAGAACATATCTTTAGAATTCCGATAGACAGTCTCACGCGCGGGAGATAAAAATGTTTTCTTCCGTACAACGTTGCCATTGCTCGCTTTGAAATCGTTGAGTTTGTTAATCAAAAATTCATTAAAGTTTTACAGATTACGAAATATAATTTCGAAATTCAAAATTTGGGCTTCATGTTCGGGTAGAGGATCGCGTTGTTCAAAATATGATGGTTCAAGGTACCGTTATTTCTTCACAGTGCGCACACACATACATACATGCAGATTCTTCGTCATTTAATTTCTTTAAAATTAATACAGGTCAATCATATTGGGTATCAACAATTTCAAAAGTGATCCGCCGTATATAGTGTAGGATGCCAAATCCCGTTTCGAGAGTAATAATTTCGAGAGTAGTTTCGAGTTTCGTTTGGTCTAACTCCCTTTTGGGCTAAAAATGAGCAAGCATTCTATGTAATACATAGATGTTTATGTGAACAAAAAGTTTAATTTGGTAATGTAGTAGAAATTTTGGAAATGGCTTATTGGTTAATTAAGTAATTATTATGATTTTTTATCTTTAGTATAATTTTGTATGTTAATTAACTAATTATTATGATTTCTTATCTTTACTATAATTCTTATGTTAATTGACTAATTATTATGATCTATATGATTATTATGTTAATTGACTAATTATTATGATCTTTACTATAAATTCTTCTTCTCGTGCTCCTCACTTTACTGGAAGTTAGCTTTTAAGAGTACATAAGCTGAGGATTATTTTGAATCTTAGAGAGAAAAACTTTCTGAAACTTGCTCCGCGCTATTAGAATTTTCGCCAGCTTTATCTAAAAGTGATCATTTCAGCTTCTGTGTTGGTTCGCTAGCCGATACTTTTAAGCTTACGCGAGGGTAAATTAATTGAGCCAGGTTATATCTTAGTCTATTGAATGTGTAATTTTAGACTACTTTATCTACTCTTAAATTTGTTTGACTGTTATTGCTTAATTTGAATTTATGCAACACATGCAGAATAATCTTATACTTTGCCCTTATATGGCCATATACAGAGGCTGTTCACACATTTTTTAGACGATGTATATTGTATTCACAAAACTAAATTACATAAAATTCTTGTGTTTTATATGTTCTATTTGACATCCCTTATTCTGAACTCTCTTTCGACACCGAAATTTCCAGGATAATAATGCCTTTTGAAGTGGCAGAAGAGGTATTCTATCCCATTCCTCCCGAACAGCTTTCCAGAATCCTGTTAGGGTTTTGGGACAACGTTTGGATAATGCAGTTCTCAAAGTCCGAAAGACAAAAATCCACAGGTGACACATCGGGAGATTTAGTAGGGATATCAGTGAAGGGTATGGCCTTGATACCAGTTTTTTGTTCCATTTCTTTTAGGAAATTTACAGTGGATTTTGATGTGTGACTGCTAGCTTTGTCCTGATATCTTATTATTTCAACTTTTCTATAAATTTTACTGTCATCAACTTAAATTAGAATGTAAATTAGTAATCTTCTAGCTGCTAGGCTTTTCAGAGCGTTAGGCAACATTATGCTAGCCGTTACTCTAGATTTTTTTGTCATGGCTATTTAGCTTCCTGGCAAATTCTTCTATCCGTGATTTTTTCGCCAGTGCTTTGACAGGGGTGTTTGTAATGTTTAAGCTAGGCATATTCAGTATCTACTCTGCATTTTACTTATTTTGGAAATGTATTTATTTATCCCCAAGCTTGCATAAAATTTCATTTCGTGTGACCATCAAGACCACGTGATAATTAATAGCTTTATTTTAAACTTTTACCATAGTTAGGGTTACTTTTACTGTAGCAATCAGAAGTTACCGTCAAACGGGACGAAATGTTGTCTAGCATTCCATTACGATTTACCCAAGTAAATTGGTAGTTTAAAATTAATGGTGTTCTAGAGTCATTAGGATTTTTTTTAAAACAAGAGATATGAAAAATATGCAATCTCCTCGCCAGGACTCGAACCGGGTCCTCTAGAATACGCACCCAGTGTGCTACCTTTACACCACGAAGGCATGCAGAAAGGAGGAAGAAAATACCTTATAGTGCAACCGTGTACTGGCGTCCAACATAGAAAGGACTGTAAACCCAGAGATAACAATAATTTAGCTCAGGAGAGGTTGAAATCTGATAATACTATAAGAAGTCCCTTTAAAGGCTTCGAACATCTCGTAGATGTCATGCGAGCATCTGTGAAACCTAATATTAGTTTCGACGTAAGAAACTCGATAATGAGTTTCGTGAAAGGTAAGATTAGAACAGATTATTTGAATGAGACAGCACCGAGTAATTAGTGAGGCTGACTGCAGTACCGATGGGCCCATTGGTACTGCATTTTGTACTGGTCTTTTGTAGGCGTATCTTGTCTGCACGGCAAGGGAGCATTCAAAATACACGGCCAGCTGAAAGTCCCCTAGACTTTTTGATAGTAGAGGAAGAGGGATAGGAAACCCTCACCTCCCCGAGGTGTTCTCCCTCAAAACTGTGGCGGAACTGCGCAGTTATGTGGCGGGTCTATAATTGTACCGCCAATGGTAAAATCCTTTCTCTTGCCCACTTCTATTTGAATATGGAAAATCATACGAGGAATATCTGATTAAGAAAAGGAGGCCTTCTGGAGATTAACTTGCGTTTGTGTTACGGTCAGAAAAGCATTAAACAGTCTCAACTACTTGGTCACTTGTGGAGTCCTTCGTAAAAGAACTGACGAATCATTTTCTCCTGTAGCTGATCAATGAACAGTAGAAGGTCGGTGTAGCAGTGTTTTCACTGAAAAGGTAGGTGTTGAGCTGGTTTAAATGTATCGGGAAAAATTTATTAGGTGAACCCGGTGGAGAGACATGTAAGTTCATTGTAGTTAAGGTGGTTTTAATTAAGATTTTTGCCGCAGTAAGAGACAGAGCTCGTTTAGAGTTTGAATTATATGGGAAGTATCAGACGGTAGAGCAGTATTTAATGTTGTTTGCTTTTCGGAAAGCTGTGAATTTAAAACTGTTAAATGAAAGAATTCGCTTGTTGAAGGAATGCAGTTGATAGTCCCTATGTTGTTACATAAGATGCAGAATTCTGACATACTGCACATTAGTTTGGAGGAGGTTTATATGCTGGCAGTGAAGCATGAAAGTCACAAGTTGCCAAGTGTGGTGCTAGATGTAGGAATAGTTAAAAAGGTTTAAAGATGTGAGAATAGTTAAGTAGGTAGAAAAATAGTAACAATAAATTTGGCGGTAGATAGGGTGATAGATTCAGATGGAGGGTTTAGAAATATAAATATGGTTGCTGAACGGCGAAGAATAGTTAGTCAAGTAAGCGAAGTGGTAGTTGCCAAAGTTGTGTGAAAAAAAGTGGGGAGAACAAAGGAAAAGCAGTGTAGCGGTCTTAGCCTATTGGTATTAAACCTGGCTTCTATGCATAACAAGATCATGGGTTCTATACCCGACGTAGAAAAGTTTTATCATTTTCTCCTGTAACTGATCAATGAACAGTAGAAGGTCGGTGTAGCAGTGTTTTCACTGAAGGTAGGTGTTGAGCTGGTTTAAATGTAACGGGGAAAATTTATTAGGTGAACCCAGTGTAGAGACATGTAAAGTATATCATTTAAAAAAGTGGGAATGAATTACAGTAATTTTACATGAGAGATACATAATATTTACAAACTATATACATACAACTACAGGCGCACACGAGAAAAGCATTTCAATAAAGGATTACGCATAAGGAGTAATGACAATTGAGATGGTAAAGAATTTATACAAAAATGAATTATCTAGGTATCTTAGGACCGCTAGTGGTCTTTTTCGATTAAAATCAGAGTGATGATCATAATGCAACACTGGAATAGTGCTATTTCTAACATCTGGAATTTTTTTAAAGAATTTTTCTGCTAGTTTAGCCATGTGAATATGTATTTCAGGGATCAATCAATCAATATATGCTAACCCTTCCTGCTAACTTAATGCAACTAGGGTGACACCCGAAATCAACCTCCGTATCAGGCGGGAGGGCCGGACATGTCCGCTAGACCTCTTAAGATTAGAAATAGTACTTTTGCTACGCCGGGGTGCCTCAAATCCTGCGTAGACTTTTAGAAACTCTCTCAATCCTCCGGGCTGAACGGGCCACCCGGATGCTTACACACCACGGGTTCGGAGACCACCCCGGAGGAGGACCTCTACAGACCTTTGTCAATTTGCGATCGACCGGCCGTGGATGCCCCTGCCAGTACTACACGCTGCCCGTCACGAGGTCATTACCCGGAATACGCAAGACTGACTACGCTACCAAATCTCCGGTTCTGGGACTCTGCAATCCCCTTGGTCCGGCCGTTAAACGACCTTCCTCAGGTTCTGGAACCGCCAAGCTCAAAATGCTTTTCCCCCAGAGTACTCTGTCAGGATATAGGATCCAGCCAGTTGCACCCCAGGGGGTATGTATTTCAGGGATGTCAAACTTACGGTGAAATGCCGCGTTTCCTAATAAACCAACGACAAATCACCGCTTACCTGAGTACTACATTTTGAATAACTTGCAGTTTCATAAAAATTTGTTTTGCTGGCGTATCCCCAAACAGGGCATGCATAGGGGTCAATTAAAGGGGCAGGTGTTCGTTTACGTAAACGGAACTTGGCAATAAGCTGTGAAATGTGTGGGTCCATGTGAGTAGCCTATCCAAAGTAACACCAAGGTATTGGGCCTGCAATTAAAGGCATTTCTTATTCTATCGCTTTAATTTCCATGTAACTGCTTATCTTGCTTCCGCACTTACCGTCATCTTGTCGATTGGACTCTCCCTCATGTGGTTCTCCGTACTATAGACTTATGTTTACCTGAGGACGTTCAAATCTGATATGTTTGTTTTCACTTATTAGGAACATTCAAGGACTCGAAAATCTTCAGAATTATGCCGGAGTAGCGATCACCCATTTTGCGAAATTTGTCGAGTTTGCCTTAACCGACAAAATTAGGCGATTAGGAGGGTATGATGGAGATTTGAGAGGGCAGACGTCCCGAAATAAGGAAAAATCTTCTACAGAAGAAGTGCTGTTAAACAATGCGAAGTTCCCATACCTCAGCAGTTCTTAACGGAATTTTTCAATTACTAGACAAGAGAAATGGTAAAAAATCAATATATCATTTCAGAAAAAGGTCAGGTTTCCTGTCAAAAGACATATGTTAAAACAATATGTATATATCTAATATTTATATCCTATATGTTTTCGTGATAGAAAAACACAAGTTAAATTTTGTCAATCGGCTCAAGTAGAACAAAAGATGGACTGTCATGTATGTTCCGCCTTGGTGTGTGTGTGTATGCAGAGTGTACCTATGATATAAAAGCCTTTTCAGAATTATTGACGTGTTGCCACTACTTTTTATCCAATCTTTGCCACATTATTAATTTGAATTAATTATTATTATATTATTATTATTATGAAATATATTTCTGAAGAGCTTTAATAAATATGGTTATAAATGTATATTTATAGGATTTTGGTTTAGCTGGATTACGAATAGGTGTGATTTACACCCAGTGCAAAGAACTGCGAAATTGTTTGATTCAACTCACCGCCTTTGCAAGCGTGCCTTACCCTATCATGGACATAGCAGCAAGATTATTAGAAGACATAGGTATATTATTACAAGTCAAAAGTCTTTTTAAAAGTTTTATATTTCAGTTACTGATTGTGTTTTCAAACAATACAAACTTCTCAATTTAAAGTTTGGAGGACCATGTCCATCCAAAATGCAACACAGTGGAGGAAGCACTAACAGACTAGAAATTTTCGCCATGCTTAGACATTGATAGGACATGGGAAAGAAAAGAAAGCTCTTTTAAATTTCGCATTGTGTGTTTTTAGATGAATCTCGATTCTGCCGTAATGCACGACGGTGTTATCCGAACCTGTTGGCAATGCAGTAGCAGAATATCATTTCCCTTGCATTATGCATCGTCATATCGGTCGTCATCTGGAATTATGTTTTAGGATGCCAGTAGATTTTTCTTTCTCTTCCAAATAATTCGCATCGTCAGCACATTCAACAGCCACTCCTACATCTGTAAAATTCTGGAGCCTGTTGCCCTTCCTTACCTTCGAGGTTTGTCTGTAGCCAAGTTTCAACACAACAAGACATGATTGCACGTTGTACGCAGCCTGCAGCATTCAATACTTCTTCACTGCTTTCCAGGTAGTATTGCTGGCCTTCCCGATATGTTGCTCATCTAGAACGTCTGGTAGATGTTGACAAAAGAGTTGTCCAGCATACACCTTTTTCGGCTGCGCCAGATGAAATCTGACATCATGTGAAAACAACATAGAATGGAATATCACAAGCACACATCCAAAGTTTCTTTCTTTCAATGCTGCAACAGCAGTTATTGCCAGCCATCTATCTGTCTATCTATATTTTGAACTCCCGCCCCGTTTAGTGAAGAACACACCGGGGAAAAAATTTGAATCCTGTGCCGAAATTGCCGAAACAATTGGTCCGAAACAATCCGCTCAGCATATGCAGCCATAAGGCTAAGATTAACCATAAAGCTGTCTTACAATGGTTAAACCGCGCTCGACTGGAATTTGATTAACTTCGTCAACGGGACTCATTGGTCCTTTAAACATATGAAGGAATAAAATAACAGAATAAGGAAGGCAAACATATAAGACATTTGGATATAACATATAAGACACAGATGGAATGAAGACTTGAGATAATTTTCTCTTGCTCTTTACAAATGTACATTGGACACGTTATAAACTTACTTGCTAATTTCCTCGTGATATATAGTTAATTATTTATAAAGACCGTGCCTTCGTTTTTAATAATATTGTTACGAAATGTCCAGCCGCGATAAGATAGCTTCTCCGCAAGGCGGGTTCAGGGTTACCATAAAATGGCAAGAGAATGCAGGGTTGCCATATTTGGCGAGAAATCGCCCATTTGGTGATATTTGGAGACAAAATTCGCGATATGCCATTGACGAGTAGAGAACATTCTAGAACGAGTTCTTAACCGGTTTGGCCAAGAATGTTCTCGGAACGAGGGCCAAAAGCTAAATGAACCCTGCCCGTACGCGGAGTAGCAGTGTGTCTTGTCAGACTCTCTTAATCGCGAGTCTATCGAGTCGATCACCAGTCTATCAAGTTGATCGTCAGTGTAGTGTGGACTTGGTAAGAATTGTAAGAACTGGACTTGGTCAGTGTTGACTTGGTATCTGTATCGCGAGTTGGTGCATCGAGTGCACCGCGAGTTGCAGCGTGGAGAGTCTCGAGAATACGTAGAGTTCCGAGAACGACCGAACCGAGTCGGGAGCTTTACTCTGGTGCTTTGCCGTGGAGCTGTCTTCAACGTTATAGTCTGATAGTCCGAAGGTTGAATGGGTTTGTCGTAATTTTTCAACGACTGTAAACGTGTTTTGGAGCTGTCCTGAATAATACTGGCTAATAAATTGTGTGTTAATACTTCATCAAGTGTTTCGTCAATCACTCCAAATCCACGGACCCGTAAGAACGCAACGCAACAATATATTTCTTAATTTGTTAAGTGCAAACACACACTTTGTATTGCAGAATAAATGTTTCGTGGGAATTTTTGTTGCAAATCCTGGCTTTTCTGTAATAATTGAAAGTAACGAGCATTGCCAAATATAATGTTTAGCATCTGCTACATTTGCTGGTGTGCATTCACATCTTACTTCTTTCTTAAGAATCGCTGGAAATAAGATGGAAACTTTCCATGATTTATTGCTAATTGTACGTGCAGGAAATTTGTTTGATTCCATATAGGGAAACGTGTGGGAAGTATTCCTGAGTTAATCTTCCTGTATTTGCCTTGTCCCATTATCTTTGCTATTTTGTTAAAACTTGTTTAGAAATTTTATTGTTGATTGTAAGTCTTGAAATACGAAGATGGATATCAATCATATCTTTTAATGTGGCTTCCTTAACCTGCTATATCAGCAGCTTCATTCCCTATTATACCTGTACCAGTTTAGGCTAATAGGCCGAAGATCCATTTCCATGTTTACTGCCAACCATGGCTTCCACTTAAATTCTGATTTCTTTATGTTTCAAAGTCGACTGAAGATAGAATTTTCATTTTGTATTATTTGTTCAGTAAATATACATTTGGTATCCACTGTTCTTTATAATATTGCATCTTGGATGGCTAGCAATTTGCTTTGCTGTTTGTAAAGATCAAGTAAAGATCCAAGGTGACTTATATATTCTATATTATTTCTGATGTGATTAACATTAATTTTCTGACCCTTGTAAATATGATGTTTTAAAAAGTATGCCTTATTAGTTCTTCACAGACATTATTCTTAAAAAGAAATCTGATAACAACCTATTTTTTTAATTTTATTTTGCGCTACTAGCCCTTTAAAAGAAATTCATATGCTCTGAAAGAGATTTTTGTAATTGCTCTTCTGTTTCTTAATTAATCCATCTCTATAATGCAGTTTCTTTCCGTTCTAATGCGAGTCTCTCGCATTAAATTATTCTTTTTTTAAAGTTCATCATGTGTTCTATAAACTACTTAGGACAGTACACTTTCATTTATTCAGCATCCCTTCATTAGATTTAATGTGAACTGAAAGGTAGCAGTTCACAAACTATTAACTAGTCGCCTAAATAAATAGTTGTTGTTGTTCCTAATGCTTACTTGTCTTACCTACAGTCAGTCCAAGTTCAAGAAACTCCTCATGGCAAGGAACGCAAGTTTACGCTTGTCATTGGCAAGAGGCTTGAGCCGTTTACCGGTAACATTGTGATTTAACTCAGTTCTTCCCCAATTTTGATGGACAGCAGCCCGGGGAGGGGACGGGTGAGAGGGTCTCCTACCCATCTTCCCCTACCAGAAACCTCTCGAGAGGACTTTCGGCTCGCCGTATATTTAGAGTGCCCTCATTAAACAAGACAATGAAGTCTTTTCACCTAAATTTTATAATTTCGCTAAAGTTTAAAATTCTTTGAATTATATGCTATATATGCTTAAAGTTAAAATTTTGATTTATATTTTTAAATGAAGTATTTTAATTTTTCACTTTCTGTTTCAAGTCTTTAAACAAAATAGAATTCTCTTTGTTTAAGGTACAAGATTCTGATCAGAATTTACTTTGTTTTTTCCTTGCTTTGGGTAAGGGCCAGAACTTTCGGGTGAACTATTATAATTAAAATACATTTGAAATGTAACATCGCCTAATTCTGGGTACAGAAAAGCAAGGATTTTTGTAGCAGAGAGATTTCAGTTGATTTCAGTGTTCTCCTCCCCCCCGGGTGAAGTGGAACTAAAGTTGATTGAATTCCTTTTCTCTTATGTTCTTTTTTCGTTAAATTTCATTAACAATTTTTTGAATTGGGGTATAGCTTGTTTAAAAGTTTTAACATTTATTAAATTTTCTGTTGCATTTATAGAATTAATTGAAATTTATTAATTATGAATTTCAAAATTCTTGGTCTTCGTGAAACATTAGTTCTAAATTTCTTACTTTATATATGTATACACTCCTAACACACACACACACAAAAAAAAAAAAAAAAAAAAAAAAAAAAAAGGACGCACCACGATTCACCGAGAAGATATAAAGCAAATCGGACACAAATTGATAGGCACATACAGGTTTCGACGGAAAATGCAAAATTCTACATTTTGGCTGCCGATGAATGAACGGTTGTCGCTACAGCGCATCTGATCTGCGCAACTCGCAGGATATTTAAGAGGAGAAATTACGATTCCAGGTCATAAATTCTTCACGAATTTCATTCCGTGCACTCTGGTAGACAGTAACTATGCCTCGCATACAGGTGCGTGAGCGATATGCGCAGATGTCAGAATTCGAGAGAGGTCCTATAGTTGGGTTCAAAGAAGCAGGTTGGTCTTATCGGCGAATTGTTCAACATTTGAGCAGGGGCGATGCCACTATTAGACGAAGTTGGCAGGAATGGATGAACCATGGTTGCGCTCAGTGTCAAAAAGGAAGCGGTAGGCCTAGAGAAACGACAGAACGTGAAAACCGAGCAATCGTCAGAGCGGACCTCACAGCCCCAGATATATCATTATCATCGATTGTACGTGCAACTAGTACTTCAGTGACCACAAGGAGCATTCATAGACGGCTCACAGAAAGGGGGCTAAGGTCACGGCGCCCCTTGCGCCGACTGTACCATTGACCTCTGTACAACGTCAAGCCCGTTTGCAGTGGTGTCGAGCTCATTCGCACTGGAATGTCACTGACTGGAGTAGAATAGTCTTCAGTGATGAGTCCCGCTTTGAACTGAGCCCCGATGACCAGCGAAGGCGAGTCTGGAGACGCCTCGGACAGTGGTGTGATACCAACTTGACTGTCTTCTGGCTGACAGGCCGACAACCAGGAGTGATGATCTGGGTTGCCATTTCATTTCACAGTAGGACCCCTTTGGTTGTCATCCGTCGCAACCTTACAGCACAGCGGTGCGTCGACAAAGTTTTAAGGCCCGTTGTGTTGCCCTTCATGTCACGCCACCTTGGGCTTATATTCCAGCAAGATAAAGCCCGCCCCCACACTGCACATGTGTCTACTGCTTGCCTTAGTGCTTGCCGAACATTACCTTGGCCAACAAGGTCGCCGGATTTCTCGTCTATTGAGCACGTTTGAAGCATTATGGGCAGGGCCCTCCAACCAGCTCGGGATGTTGACGATCTAATGCTCCAGTTGGACAGAATTTGGCATGATATCCCTCAGGACGACATCCGCAACCTCTATCAATCGATGCCAAGCCGAATAACTGCTTGCATAAGAGCCAGAGGTGGACAAACGCGTTACTGACTTTTTCACTTTGTGAAGCTCTATCACTTCAATAAATCATCCAATTTTTCTCAAACTGTAATCATTTGTTTTTCTGTACATGTACATCACTTCTACCGATTTTCGTCCCATTCGGATAACTCCTTCTTGGTGCGTCGTTCCCCCCCTAAAAGTATATATATATATATATGATGTACCAGCTTTTGTCCGGAATAAATAGATTGGTGAAGAATCATAGATATAGTCGTAGCTAAATTATCAGACGATAAGTTTAAAAAACAGGATCCATTTATTATATTTCAGGAGAAAATAGCAGTTACAAAATCAGATATCCGGTGTAAATAAAAAGAATTACTAATAACTTTTTGTATGAAGTTTACTTCATCATTAATTAAAGAAAAGAAAGCCCCGATATTCCTTTGCGATCCTTTTAACAGCCTCTGAAAGGCGGAGCTTCAAAGAAATGACGTCAGCCAATCCAGTTCGCTTTAAATATTTTCCAGAACATTCTATAACTGTACGTGAAGTAAAAGCGGGAAAAACAACTTGACTACGAGGCTGTAGATTTAATTCCACGTACTTTCAAATAAGAGACCGTCGCCATTAAAAATGAAAAGAACATACAGTTAGAATTTTAAGTGTATTCTTGACTATGGAATTTTACTATTACACACACACACACACATATATATATATATATGTCATAATAAAAGCACAAGGAAAAGACGGAGCAGTTCGATCTGTGCTTAGATTCATATTGAAGAAGATTTTGATTGCGTAGTATGCTAGTAATCAAACTTGGTAACATCTAAAGAAACTTGGCAGTCGAAGCAGTTTTAATCCCATTTTTATTTCAATTGATATTTGTGCCACAATCACTTGGCACCCTAGTCGTGCCTTTCCACAGATTTACATTTTTGATATTGTTGGGATAGAAAGCAAGCCAGCGAAATTACATCTTAGGACAGTAGAGAGCAAAAGCTGAAGTGCGTAGTTATGCAAGATGGAGGGCACGCGAAGAGAAAAGTTTTGGTTTACAAGGACAGTTTCAGTTCTTAATTATTACGTCATCAGAGTTGCGCCGATCATAAGAGTGATCTAGAAATGACGCAATGCAAAGAAGTTATTACGATTTTAGAATAGAGAGGAAGAATTAATGTTTTTAGTTATAATTCTGATTCATTTAATTTTATCTTACATATACATGCACATGCACATATATGTTTGATTTGCCCGATTGAAACGAAAAAGGAAGGTGCACAACTACATGTTATAGCAGTCCCATATATGAAATTTGAACCTATGTACGTCATGAAAAAAAAGTCTTCTGAATCTAATTAATTTTATTACTATTTTATTTATTTACCACAACCGGACTATTTTACAGTAAGGTTGTGGAAAAAGAGTCCTTTATTCTATCCGAACGTACAGAGGTCAGGCAAAAAAAATTATTCAGATGAATTCGAGAGCGGTCAAAATGGATATTTTTAATGAAATACCCAAAATGTTTCGCGATTACAATATTTCTTTTACTAAGTACAACATCATGGGTCAAATTGTTTAATTGAGTGTTACTAACAAATATAATCATTAATAATTAATTATTATGGTATGATAAATATTAATACTAAATGAGAATTATTCTCTGAACTTTTATAAATACACTTTTACCTTCATATTTATGATGTATGTTACACAAATGATCTTTATTTCAGATTGGTGCAAAGCATATGTTGCCGAGTTTAAAAAACGTTTGCAAGATAAATTCACCTCATGTTCAACACATTTGAAAAAACTGGGAATTAATGTTAGAGATTCAAAAGCTGGCCTCTTTTTGTGGATGGATTTTCGCCATGTATGTAAATATAGCATTTTAAAGTTTCATTAATTAGCTTCCTTTGCTAGTGAAACCAATAAATAAATCATAAAAGGCAATTACAAAATAACTTAAAAACATATTCACCTGAAAACTGTTTTTTTTTCACCATTAATCTTCATAATTATTATACCACTCGTCCTATCGTTTAATCAAAGTTCTGATTCCGCCTGCATGAAATTCTGTGAGCTCGGCCATGTAAAGACTTCTTGAACATCGTTATCGTCTGCGAAGCGTCTGTCTCTAAGATTTTTTGAATAGAACAAACATGTACTAAAGCCGCGCCTCCATCAAAGCCGCGCCTCCATCTCCCGTTCTACGGGGCCGATTGACAAAATTAAAATGCATTTTTCATGTCTCGAAAGCGCGACTTAGGATATATATATTATTTATATGTAGCACTGTTCTAACACTGGTATTTTGACACAAAATCGGACTTTTTCTGAAATAGTATACCAATTTTTTTCCATTCAAATTGAATTACACTTATGTCCATAAATTAAGGATAATGCAAAATCAGGCAAAGGAAGACTTTCATCTGGTTACTGGAAGCAAAACAAATTTGACTTATTTGTAAAGCTTATTTATTAAACAAAAGGTAAAGAGCAAAAAAGATGCTATATGTTTGATATTATTAAAAAAAAATTAGTTTTTTCTCCCTGGAGCAAATTACAAAAAAAAAACCTATTTACAAAAAACAATATTACATGGTTGGTATTGATTGTTAATACATTGTATGTCTCCCAGACGAATGCAATACAGTCCGTACAACGCCTAGGCATGCTGAGTATCAAATTATCGATCTGATCTTGGGGGATATTACACCACTCAAAAAGCAATGCTCTCTGAAGTTCCGATAGACATGGAGGAGGTTAACGGGCTGCAACTCGTCGGCCAAGCATGTCCCACACGTGTTCTACTGGATTCAAGTCCGGTGAGAATGCTGGCCAGTCCATACGGGTGATATCCTCCAATGAAGGCATTCGCTTACGATGTTTGCACGGTGAGGACGGGTGTTATCATCCATAAACACAAATTGTGCGCCCCGAAACAAACGTACATGTTGTTCCAGAATGACGTCCCGATAGATTTGGCTTGTCATGATTCCAATTTGAACATGCAGGTCAGTTCTGGAACCCAGAAATAATTCCACCCCAAACGAGCACTCCTGCACCACCACCGTAACGGTGTCGTTCAATGATGTTTTCTTGGTGGTAACGGGTACCTGGAGCTCTCCATATGAAAGTCCGGCGAGAATCAGACTGCAAGCTAAACCTGGACTCGTCGGAAAACATCACACAAGCCCACTGTTGCGGTGTCCACAATGCATGCTCTCTACTCCAGGCTAACCGCAGGCGACAGTGAGTTGCAGTAAGTGGAACGCATCTGACAGGTCTACGAGCATATAAACCAATCTGCCCTAAGCGTCTGTACACGGTCTGCCTTGAAATTGTCGTACCAGTGGCTGAAGAGAGCTGACGAGACAGGTCTGAGGCTGTGCTCCGCCTGTTTCTTTTGGCAGTAACTGCCAAATACCGGTCCTCATTCGGCGTTGTAACTCTGGGGCGACCTGTGCTGTAACGTCTACTCACATTACCATCATCTGGAATCGTTGCCAAAGCCTGGAGATGACACTCTGGGCAATTCCAAGTTCGTCTGACTTTCCAGTTGGGTACGCCCACATTCCAGACGGCCGATAATTCTACCACGTAAAAAATCATCCAACTGCGTTCCTTTGTGTCATAACTATTTGGTTATGCACTGAAATGCTTATAAAGTGCCTGCGAAAAATTTTACTTCTTTGCCTGTATTCCTTATAATATCACTCTCTTACACTCTCGTCATTGTGACGTACCATCGGTGTCATCTGGTTACTTCCTGAAATTTGCATACGTGTTCTTGAAGATGTGTGTTGGTTTTTTTACAGGTGATATATTTATTTTAGAGTTCGATTTCCGAGTGACTCCGAATTATCCTTAATTTATGGACATGAGTGTACTTTACTGAATTACTGAATTACTACTGAATAATTTTCAAACTGAATTACGTGTCTACTACTTTCAATTAGTAACTAACGAAATGATTATCATGAACTAAAACGGTGAAATTAAAACTTTTCGATCAGTATCAGGAAAACTTTGCAATAAACACGAGATATCTTATTGTAATTTGTCAATTTTTATTCTGATGTTAATAAAAGTATATATTATTTTTACGTATAAGTGGATTAAACATAGTATTCATTTGATTTTTTGAAAGTTGTGATTTTTAATGTTAACATTTCATAGGTGTGCGGTTCAAAATCTTTTAAGCAAGAAAGGGACTTTTTCCTGTACCTCCTGAATGAGATGCATTTATACATTGTTCCTGGAGAAGAACTTTTTTCAGCTCAACCAGGATGGTTCAGAATGATTTTCACCGGTCATCCGAATAATTTGAATGAAGGTATTGTGTTCGTTATGCAATATAATCATACAAATTTTCTTCTTTTGCATGATATGTTAGTACATTCAGGGTGGCACGTAAGTCCTTATCTATTCATATACCATAGGTATTTCGTGTATCTGCGTGCTGCACGTTATTTTTGCTGCATAATATAATACGACGCCATATCCTGCGAGACATTTTTCTCAACATAACGAAGGTTATTGTTCAAAATGCCGCGAAAAGAGATGCCTTTAACTTACCATACTTAAAATGCTGCTTCGTCACAGTGTCCATTATATATCCCCAAAGATAGTTATCAAAGAAGCCGGCAAGAAATCCGTACCTTGCCAAGTACGGACTTCTTTCAGGCTATTTTATGGGCGCCAGAGATGTGTTAAAACTATAACCTTATAAGATATTTCTTCCGCCTTCTTAGCATGCCTTCGTAATGTAGTAGTCAGCAAGCTCGGTGCGTATTCGAGAGGTTCGAAGCCATTGCTCATTTTTCATGTCTCTCATCATCAAAAAGCCTAGTGTCTCTACAACCTATTTATTTGTTAGGGAAAGTGTCATCGATATAATTGAACACATAGCGGGCAGGATCAGCCAGAACTCCATGTTATCAAAATCCACCTCCCTCTCTGATACCTCTTGTTGAAATCAAACCTCTTCTGTCATCGAATTTCAGTGTAAAACATTGTTGTAGCATATTGAGATATGAGGTATAATTTACTAGCCCATTAAAGAAGTATAAGGTATTTCTCCCACTTCCCTAGCGTGCCTTCGTGGTGTAACGGTAGCACGCTGGGCCGGTATTCCAGAGGTCCGTGGTTCGATTCCCGGCGAAAGCGGTTGCATATTTTTCATCTTTTCTGCTTCCAATTAACCTAATGACTCTACAAGTGGCGCCCGAACTAAAAGGGCTGTGGATGATGATTCTCCGCACCCAGGAATTGGCGACTAGTTCACCTAAAACCCTAGTCGCCCTTTAAAAAGGGGAGTATATAAGGTATTTCTCCCACTTCCCTAGCGTGCCTTCGTGGTGTAACGGTAGCACGCTTGGCCGGTATTCCAGAGGTCCGTGGTTCGATTCCCGGCGAAGGCGGTTGCATATTTTTTCCTCTTTTCTGCTTCCAATTAACCTGACTCTACACGTTCAATAACGTCCCACATGTGCTGCCGCCATCATAACATGTTGAGGATTATACCCATGTTTCTCAAAATATATACAGGAATAGGAAGGAACCACCCTGTATTAGTAATCCGTATATGATGTAGAAGGATGAAACTTAAACACAAAGATAGTTGTAGATTCAGCCCATTTTATTACGAGATAAAAAGATTCTTGAGATAGTACATACTCTGATTCACATATCATTACGGCGCAAAATGCGACTGGTATTTTTGAAAGCTTAGCACAGCGGTGCCCAACCTTGTGCTCGCCGATCATTTTGTATGTGCTCGCCGGCTCGATTAGGTGCTATGAACAAAAAATATTTTTTAAATGACCATTCATTTATATTTCTTAATAGTTTGTAGAGTTCCTCACTTTGTAATTCTAAGTTAATGTTGGAAGTGAAGAATCTAAGAACTGATAAGCGAATAATCGCTTAAGTTCGCTGACAAGAAACAACAAGATAGAAGGGTAACTAACCCTTTATTATTCCAATAAGATTTAACAAAACTCCGCCTGGGAGTGTACAAACAAAGCCCGCACTTGGGCTCGAACTTAAAAGACTAAGAATTAAACTAAAACTAAGATTTAACTAAAGAAATATAGCCGAAGCTATCAAGGTTCAAATCGAGTTGGCCCCTGAACTTATTTGATTACGAAGCTTAGCAAGGGCCTGAGTTCGGCCCAGCGTAATAACAGCTTTGAGAGAGAGAGAGAGTGGCCAAAAAGGCAGACGCGCGTTAATCAGAAACTCTGATTCTCTCTGACTCAGTAAGTAACTTCGTAGATTAAATACCGCTCCTCCTCATTAAATATTCAGCAAGATTCCAAAACTACATTCTGGCCGAAAGTAGTAAGTTGAAGTTAAGAATCTGACAGGAAAGGAACTTAAAATTTAACTGTTAATAAAATTAACATAATCCTTACAAGTTAAAATATGGTAAACATTTATAGTCATAAGAGATATCTTGCAAGATTGACTATCCGATCTGTATTTTCTCAGTGATATATAACAGCTAAACTGAACAAACTGAACGAAGATCTCAAGAGAAAAGAAAAAAAACCCCTTTTTCAATTGACTGGGACTGTAACTGCTTTTCAGATAAGGTTAAATTTGTGGATAAATCATATGAAAGGAAAAAATGTCACCCATTTTCAGAATTTATCATGCCATATTAATAACTACAAGGCAATTGAAACAGAAAAATACCAGGAAAACCTAAATGCCCTGAAAAATAATTTTGAACTCCGCTTCTCTGATTTCCATAAAGTTCAACCAATATTATTATTCATCTCAAATCCATTTGCCGAAATTAATATTTCAGATGTATCAGATAAGATTGGAAATATGTTTAACAAAAATGTTGATGTTTAGGAAATGTGCTCGCGATAGGCCAAAGGTTGTGGACTACTGGCTCAGCACATCTTAAGACAACGGATGATACAGAGAAGTGGGTCGCTACGTATCTTATCCAAAGTAGCGAGCCTAGTAACATGGCCTCAAAAGGCAGAACAAGCTGTTTCAACAGTAGCAAAATCTCACTATAAATACACGAGAAATAATTTGCAGTCTGACGAGAAAACGGAAAGAGAGAAGTGACAGTACAGATTGAGAACATAAAATAACTGGTTATTCAAATTAAAGGAATCTCACAATGGTATGATAAGTATTAAATTGGAATGACGTGGTTTGGATTGAAATATTACAAACAGGTTCTATTTTTAGGACAGAAAGGGAAATATTCGAATTAAATGAAGAATAAAAGGGGCTATTACCAGTTAAAATCAGAAGTTTGCTTTACATACTTTTTTCCCGTTGGAAAACCAAATACGCAATATGTTCCATACCTACATCCGTGGAGAGGTACGGATCAGACTATAAATAATTGGCAATAGACCTACGGCCGGTGTTTGAAGATGCCGGTAATGAAAGCTTTCATTAGAAAAAAGGTGTGTCAGAGACGCTGTATTGTTATTCCAAAGGTACAGTGAAAATCCGCAGAATTGTGGGCAAGACAACAGGGTTTGGTTCAAATAGCAAGCACAAATGCAATTATCCACAGGACACATGGACATGATGAGATGCCTGATGGAAGCTTTTGCAGCGCTGGAAAAGTGCATCCGAGCAGAAGGAGGATATTTAGAGCACATTCTTTTCAAGATGTCTATGTATACATTATTATGGCCCAGCTTATTTGCAACACAAAATAAAGTTTCTGCAATAAACGATCCTTTTTACATTTTTTTGAGGAACGCAAACTGCAGCAAGTTGTCAGTAGAAATGCGGAAAAGCAAAATATGAGGTATTCCAAGATGGAAACTTAGTTCAAAAGGGAAAGGTTATGGTTTGGGATTTTTTTTTCCATTGGCTGTTAAAAGTTTCAGTGTTCATTGTTTGAGTTTCAGTTTGCATCTTATCTGCGCATATCTGATATATATGTTACCGTGAAAGACCGAAATTGGAGAATGTCGACTTTCACCGGAGAATGTCAACATTCACCAAATACGTCGGTGAAAGATCGAATATTTCTTTACATTCTTGTACATTCGGACCCTCACCGGTGTATGTCGACAATAACAGATACGCTCTGGTGTAGGTCGAAAAGAGAGGAGTATATGTACACGCTGACATTCCAAAAGGAAGTGTTCCACAAATAAATGCAGTTGTAAAAGCAAGGGCCTCTTGTGCAATTTCAAAGTGTCATAATAGTTTAAGTTGTTTGCAATAAATAAGATTTGAATCACGTAATTTTGTAAAGTTTATAACTTCTATTATTTTCCTTTCTCATTTTGAATGTACTGTGTGTTTTAAGTTCTTATTTCTTATTCTTTAAGTCTCAAGTGCGTTTTTTCGCGAAAGAATTACGGAAAGAAATATATATTCTTATGTGTTCAACATTCACCATTAGTACATGGTGAATGTCGACATTTACCGGTGTAAGTCAGAAATAAGAGTATTTGGAAAATATTTCGGACATACACCAAGCGACTATGGGAATGTTGACATTCACCGGTGAAAGTCGACATTCTCCAGATTTCGGTGTTTCACCGTAACATATATATAACATAAATGGCGTCGAAACGATAGGTACGACTGAAATTGGCGGCGTAAAACATTTGCAAAGACAGAATTATAAAGGAATAATGACAATAGAGAAATGAAGTGCATGGCGCACATTATGTAATTCACAGGGAAACAGTAGAAGCCCCAATCACAGAACCGCATCTGTGAGTGTGGGAAAACTGCTACTTCTTGCTTCAGGTGTTCGAACTAACAAGATGTCACTTTTGCTAACAAAGTGAACTGATAAAGCTGTTTTGTCTTGGACGGGGATAATGTTGCTAAAGTAGTGCGAGTTTATCGACGAAATCAGAGCTCAGACGAGGCCCATATTGCGCAAAAAAATGTACGCGACTTGGTAAAAGCGTTTGAAGATACTGGATGCAAATGTCAAAGATCGCAATTTGGACGACCATTTGTTCAAGTTGATCTTGCTGTGAAAGTGCATAATGCGATTACTGCAGATCCTTTGCGTACTGCAAGAAGTTGTACGCAGTCCAGCACTATTCCACAGCTGTACCGTAAACAAAAGTTGTACGACTGTGGAATAGTGCAGTACAACTGTGGAACAACTATGCCGGACTGCGTATGACTGTAAAATAGTGCAGTCCGGCACTATTCCACAGCTGTACGGCACTATTCCACAGCTGTACGCAGTCTGGCAAGTTGTAGAGACATTAGGTATTTTGAAGCAGGAGACATGAAAAATGAGCAGTTCCTTCGTCGGAACTCGAAGCACGAACTTCTCGAGTATGCGTCGCGCATGCTGATCATTACACCACG